ATATTTAAAAAGGGCTCTAGAGGTGATCCCGGCAATTACAGACCAGTAAGTCTAACGTCAGTACCGGGCAAATTAGTTGAAACAATAGTAAAGAATAAAATTGTCAGACACATAGAACAAATTGTTAGGCAAAAGTCAACGTGGTTTCTGTAAAGGGAAATCATGTCTTACTAATCTATTAGAGTTCTTTGACGGGGTTAACAAACATGTGGACAAGAGGGATCCAGTGGACATAGCGTACTTAGATTTCCAGAAAGCTTTTGACAAAGTCTCTCACCAAAGGCTCTTACGTAAATTAAGTTGTCATGGGATAAGAGGAAGATCCTTTCATGGATTGAGAACTGGTTAAAAGACAGGGAACAAAGGGTAGGAATAAATGGTAAATTTTCAGAATGGAGAGGGGTAACTAGTTGTGTTCCCCCACGGTCAGTCCTAGGACCAATCCTATTCAACTTATTCATAAATAATCTGGAGAAAGGGGTAAACAGTGAGGTAGCAAAGTTTGCAGAGGACACTAAACTGCTCAAGATAGTTAAGACCAAAGCAGACTGAAGAACTTCAAAAAATCTCATAAAACTAAGTAATTGAGCAACAAAATGGCAAATGAAATTTAATGTGGATAAATGTAAAGTAATGTACATTGGAAAAAATAACCCCAACTATACATACAATATGATGGGGGCTAATTTAGCTACAACTAATCAGGAAAGAGATCTTGGAGTCATCGTGGATAATTCTCTGAAGATGTCCACGCAGTGTGCAGCGGCAGTCAAAAAAGCAAACAGGATGTTAGGAATCATTAAAAAAGGGATAGAGAATTAGACGGAGAATATCTTATTGCCCTTATATAAATCCACGGTTCTCCCACATCGTGAATACTGCGTACAGATGTGGTCTCATCTCAAAAAGGATATACTGGCATTAGAAAAGGTTCAGAGAAGGGCAACTACAATGATTATGGGTTTGGAATGGATCCCATATGAGGAGAGATTAAAGAGACTAGGACTTTTCATCTTGGAAAAGAGGAGACTAAGGGAGGATATGATAGAGGTATATAAAATCATGAGTGGTGGGGAGAAAGTGAATAAGGAAAAGTTATTTACTTGTTCCCATAATATAAGAACTAGGGGCCACCAAATGAAATTAATGGGCAGCAAGTTTAACACAAATAAAAGGAAGTTGTTCTTCACACAGCACACAATCAACCTGTGGAACTCCTTGCCTGAGGAGGTTGTGAAGGCTAGGACTGTAACAGGGTTTAAAAGAGAACTAAATTCATGGAGGTTAAGTCCATTAATGGCTATTAGCCAGGATGGGTAAGGAATGGTGTCCCTGGCCTCTGTTTATCAGAGGGTGGAGATGGATGGCAGGAGAGAGATCACTTGATCATTACCTGTTAGGTTCACTCCCTCTGGGGCACCTGGCATTGGCCACTGTCATTAGACAGGATACTGGGCTGGATGGACCTTTGGTCTGACCCAGTAGGGCCATTCTTATGTTCTTATACCTTTCTTACCTCCAGAAAGTTTCATAAAAGAAATATTTTAAGATTATTGTACATAATCAGTCTTGGTTTTTAAAACGAAGATAATGCAATTGCTAATAAATAAATTAAAGGAAAGTGTATTTTAACATTGAAAATGTGAATATAAATGTTTTTGGTATTTAAGACTTCTAGCAGATACTAAAATGGATGTTTTACCTAATCTTTATGTAGTAGGTCTTCAGCTACATGGTTCTGTAAGAGCTCACAGCAGAGGTGGATCAGTTACAAGAAGCAGACAAGGACTATAATGAGTAACGAACTCTCACCATGATGCAGTGAGCACATCTGGACGCTCTTGAAACAGTGTTGAATCTCAGCAATATCAAACTTGTTTACAGAAGAATTTAAGAACATCTTCATGAAGGATCTTATTTTTGTATGTTGTATTTTAAAAAAAGCAGCTGCCAAAGACTATAGGGTACTCAGCACATTTCAGTTTTCTTCCTGTAGACCAGGTTTTGCTGTTCTGGTGAACACTAAAGCTTGTATCCTAAAAGTCTACCAACATTTTCCACTAAACCATTGCTAATATTTTTCATATTAAAAAGGACTATTGGCTCAGGACTCTTTGCTTCCCGTTACTGCAGCAGTGGCACTACTGGAACAGTTGCCTAAGGGCTAACTTTGTGAAAGACTATTGCACTTTTCACAGCAATCTATTTACTATATATTAAAGGATTTAAAAAAAAAATCTTAATTACTACATTGATATTTCTGGCATGATTTCTCTATCAAAAGTGAGTAGATTTATTGCATATAATGCTGCCTGTACAACTGTGGTGTTCAGGTACTTTGGACAAACTGTGGATCCTGCGGTGAGAACACCAGATACAACAGTTGCATAAAATAAGGTAGCAAATAAAGATGAAATCTTATGCTTCCACATTTGCTAATTTTAACTTGCAGTCTTAACTGTAGCATGCTACTGTCCTTTCCTGTATTATAAACTAATACCTCTCCCCCAGTGACTCAGGCAAGTGTCCTCAAGGGACAAAAGCAATCATTTTGCTGAAAATTTATTCCCACACACTACTCAAAGTAAGAGAATCCTTTAAATATTCTTGATTAAATATTTTGTTAAGTAATTTCAGCAGATGAATCTGTCTCCATTTTGAAACAAATTAGAGTGACTAAAGAAGTGTTTCTGTGCACCAGCATCATTCACCATTTCAGTCACATATGAGAGCTTTCTTAGGCACAGACACATTCTGCTTTTGTAAGATAGACATACTGGGATATATTAGAAACAGTTACCATTAAGACTTAAATATAGCTTACACATTAAATGCAACAATTTCACAGTAAAGCAGCTAAACTGTAATTCAGTTTAACTACAATTAGCTTCAGGTCTTACTATTAACAGTAAGTGCCAGACTGCAAATATATGTATAGTCATAAATTGAGAGTAACCTGTTATTTTTGAACAAAAGGTATTCTGCTACAATGTGAAGACAGTTACTTTGAGGGAACTGATTATTTAATAAACAAATTGTCACCTTTTATATGCAATTAAAAAACCTTTTCTAAACTTCATTTGTTCGTTTGTAATTTGAAAATATTGAGGAACAGTTTGTAAATGTGAATCTATGAATAAAATGGCTTCACTGTTGCCCACTGAAAGTACATACATGATACAAGCTTCATGAAAAGAGATTGAAATGACTGTCCCAGGGCACATTTGCTCTTTAGTGGCCACATAAGTCCTATTACTACTAGAAGTCATCTTGCTCAGACAGAGGAAAAAATATCCTTTACAATCCTAGTCTGTTAGCAGATGCAGCGATTTAGCCCTCTCTCTCTCTCTCTCTCTCACACACCAAAAAACAGGTTACAAATTCCACCCACCACTTTGTGTCTTTTAGCAACTTTTTTACTCAGATTTTCCTCTGTCCCCTCCTGATACAAAGACCTCACCTCAAAAATTCCTGTTCATGGAAAAGCAGTCCAACCTCCTCCAGTCTTCTTGGTTCAACCATCCTCTGTTCAGAAAAAGGAAAGAATAGTGTAGACAAGAGACTTATTTGTATTCCTGTGGTGCCTAGGAGCCATAGTCAGACGATGACCCCATTGTGCTAGGTGCTGTACAACACAGAACAATCCTTAACAGGCATGGGGGGTTCCCTTCCCTAAGATTTAGTGATTTTATCTCAGATGGTTAGACAGATAGAATGATATACAACATACCAAAGCACCATTGAATTAGCTAAAGGCATTAACTTAAACATGATAGTTAAAGGCAATCTCTGTCTTTTCCAAGGCACTAAGTGGGCTGTACCATTTGACTAACCAATTATCATCTCTTTATAACTGAATCCACACAGTCTACTCATCTTGGTCACCACAAAGGTTCCTTCCTTTAAGGAAATGAAAATTATCTAAATTAAAACTGTCAAAGTAGTTCAAATCAGGCCATATGGCAACACTTGTGTTAGGGACCAAAATATTTTTCTCCGCCACTCCTCTGTTTGTGATACCCTATTAACACACACAAGACAAATGCAGCTTTGATGGTATTATGGCCCCTAACTAAAGGTACATGTAGTTTGTAGCCTGAGACCAGCTCTGGAGACTTTTTACCAAAATTCAATCTCATTACAGATACAATTCCTGTGCATGATAGAAAGGGGCCAACAGATGTCAAAAGTTTGCACTACTGAATGCTTTTGTTTGGTAAGATTTGTTTTGCACCTAATCACAGTTACTTAATGATTTAATATAGTTCGTCTGTCAGCTTCAGGGTAATAACTGTTAAAAGCAATGAGGTAACACTAAGCATGAAATATAATTCTCCTCAAAAAACTCAATCATTTCAATACATTTCTAGTCAACCTTAAATTCAGGGAGTGATCTTAGAAACTGATGAGTACCTGTAACTTCCATTAGCTTCAAGTTGCAAATGTTCAGCACCTGGCTACTAAAAAGGCCTACAAAAATAGGTTTCACAAAATAAAATAAGGCTGTGTCTAAATACAGTTTCTTTCAGCTAATGCATTTTTAAAGTTAACTGCCCCTCCAATTTATACCAAGGCATATTACATGAATTTCTGCTGCCTTTAAATTATTCTTACTACAGGACTATTACTTCATTTAGATTTTTTTCTTACGAAGTTGCTTAAATTACTTGTATTTTTACAATAGACCAGTTCTATGAGAACTTTCATACAACTTACAGAAAGAGGGCTTCATTATGGAAATAATGAACTGGTAACAGTTAGGCCTCTTGCAAGACAAGTGTCAACATAACCGCATGCCATTGTGGGAATATATGTCCATCATTTTGCTTGAATGGTTGGTTTTCTGTCAGATGCTATAATATCGTGCAGTATTACTTAATGTTAGGCAATTCAACATCAGGTGTTTGAACAGATAGAACAGTAATAATGAAATTGACTATTTTAGACATCTATAAAAACACTTGCAAAAACATGGGGTTGAAAAAACAAGAGTACTGCGGTTTTGCAAAAACATTTTTATTTAAGCTAGCTTTCAAAAATATCTTTAATAAAACCACAAATATTGAAAAACTCTTGCCCTGCTGAACAGAAGTGCAAAGACCATAAGAAGAGCAACAGGGTATTACAGAGGAAACTGGTAAGCATGAACAGAACTAGAAAATAAGATATTCAGGTAACATGCCACATAGACAAACATTTTTAAGACTATCAATCCTGTTAAATTACATTGTTTTGCCACCAGCAGTCTCACCAGTTGGGTTCTGATGTGCTTACACAATTCAAATTTTGACAGACATATAGATCCCAAATAGTACATTTACAACCCTTATCTGGAGCACAATGGTAATCCAATAACCTATTTAATCCTAACTAAAATTTAGGAGAAGATTTAAAATAGTGTCACCAAAAAGTTTGTTTTCATCTCACTTGCTATCATATCTTCCCAGCCACAATGAATTGATGCACATGTGCTCTACATTGGAAGTCAGGAAGGCTGCAGAGATTCACTGGAACTTCGGTGTTCATTTGTGGATTGACATAAAGGCTAGAAAGTCAATAGATAACTATTTCTTTGCCTTCTTGGGTGCTGTTTTCTTTCCTCCTTTTTTGGAATTGTTTCCATACTTTGCTTCCATTTGAGCCAGAAAGTCATCTATTTCTTTTTTTCTATCTTTATTTCTGCTCTATAAAATGAATGAGAAATCTGTTTACCAAAAAGTCATTGTGAGATCCAACGTCATTAGAATAATCTGTATAGTTAAATAAGATGTTGAGATGTACTAAGAGAATATGGAAGATGCAATATAATTATGTAAAAATCTATGGTCCACCTTAATCTAGTATCTAAAAATAAATGTCAAGATAAAGGCTAGAAAAGGGCAACAAAAATATTAACTGATTGACAATGGGGGTGGGTTCCTGGAAAGAGGTAACAGACCAGAATTATATTCTGGAAAGGAGAAATGATCTAGGTATCTAATTTGTTTATACAAATACAGCATAAGAGACTCATAGTAGGCTCCCTTGCCATGAACTAAAATAGTTACAATTCAAAAATATAACCTAAACAGCAGTACATTTCCTCCGCCACCTCTACAAACATATCAGCAAGCATAATTCAAATCAACATCTTCACATCCTCTTCCAAAGCAAACCATCCCTCCTGTAGCCACCTCAGTGTTTTCTAAATGCCTACTCAGATGGGCCTTGCTGGATATGGGGAAGATCAGCAGATTCAGGCTATTTCAGATCAAGGCGGGGAGAACAGATGCAGTGAATTCCAAAGTCAAGGGTTCTTCATGCAACACCCTTTGTCAGAAACTCCCTCATATATACAGAGGGAGCTCAAAGTCAAAGTCAGGCACCTCCACCAGCCTCAACTGTGATAGTATGTCATGGGGAGTAACGCAATTCCTCAAACAGAAAAATCTCAGGTCACTTATAGCTTGCTCTTCAAAGGGGCTGAGCATGCAGTTCTCCTTGATTTCAATGGACTAGTGGCTGGTCAGCACTTCTGAGAAGCAGGCCACTGAACTTTATAGGTAAAAACCAATACCTTAAACTTCCACCTAGAAAACATTAAGCAGCCACTAAAGCTCTTGGAGTATTGATATAATGTGTTCACAGGAAGATCCTTCACTTAACTATCCAGTTACTATATTCTTCATAGCTTCAGATTTTAAATAAATGTGAAGTGTAACCTCATGTAGAATGCACTGCAGTTGTCCTACCTACAGGTGACAGAAGCACAGATCATAGCAGCATGGTCCACCTCAGGAAAAAAATAAAAATAAAAAAAAATGTAGCCTCCTGGCCAGACATGGATAGTAAAAAGCCAACTTGGTTGCAGATGTTCTTTTGTCCTTTAAAAACAGCTGAGAATCTAACTACATCCCTCAAGATGTGACCTGTGAGGATGTCTGGCCTTCATTTGTAATCAGAGGAAATTATAACATCTCTGCTAACTACAAGTTGCGTCTTAGAATCGCTAATATTCTCAGGATTCAAACTCCGCTTTCTTGCCCTTATTCATGGCCCAAATTTGCCTACTTGACAACACGATCTGGGATGGACAAGCTAGCTATATAAAGCTGGATGTTATCAGTATGAGAACACTTCAACACATCACAGTAACGAGTGGCCTCACATGCATATTGAATAAGGGGTGACAGACTAGATCCTTATGGTACCCAACAGGATAGAGACCTCAGGGCAGACTACCACCACACAACCTGTGGAATCTTTCAGAGAGTAAAGTACAAAGCTAATGAAGAACATTCGTGTCTACACCCATCAGGGACTGCAAACACATCAATGGTTCCTTTATTGTGGTGTCTATTCAGTACAGGTCTGTCGCATCTTAGGAGCATTTAACATGCGCGATTTCAGCTTTACGTGGTTGGCAAAAACAAAACAAAAAAGAGAAAAATAACAATTTAAATACTGTTTCTGTAGTGCGGGCGATTCCGCCCACCATTACACTCAATGTAAATTTGACTATATGCGATTTTCGCTTTAGGCGCTGACTGCAGAATGTAACCCCAGCGTAAGATGAGACAGACCTATATAGCAATTCCTAGGTTCCCAATCTAAACTTTCATGGTTTATTTGGGACCAGAATAAGTATAACTACAGTGAACCAGGTTATCCAAGTGAATTTATTAAATAAAATTTTGTATCATATTCAGTGTTAATCAGAGCCTTCTGAAGACAAAATGAAAGGCATAACATTCAACACTAGGACTCATATTCTAATCTCCAGTAGATTTTTTCCAATATGCAATAATCTGCAACCATATTAGCCTACTGGCATTTGGGCACCAAAAGGTAACAACTATCTGAAGTCAAAGACATAAAAATGCCTTCTCTACAGAGATCCTCAAAGCTTACTTGAATTAGTGCTTTCAAGTCATCTTCCCCATCACCAAGACCGAGTTCTTCTCTGGTCTTTTCTGCCTCTTTAGCTTCTTCTTGAGCCTGAAATAGTAACTAGCTGCTTAGACGAAAACAAACAGCATGTTATTTGACCAAAGTTTTATTACAACAGTTATTGAATACTTCCTTTTGTGTCTAAATACAAAACAGAGGAGCAAAGTAGCAAAAAACTCTAGTGGAAAAAGTTATTTGTTCAAAGTTGTTTGGCCTTAAAGTGTTGTCTGCATTAAACAAATGTCCAATACTGGTTCTGCTATTAGGAAATCCTACCATGTTTTTGCTTCTTCACATCTGAATTTTAACAACTTTTGTCATTCGACTATCAATAAAATTGCTGCATGCACTGTCTGGTATAAAGAATAAATATACAGTAGGATTCCAGAAGTCAGTTTTTTGGCCTAACATTATCCCTTTAGATTTGGGTCAAGAGACATTGATCTGCTCCAATATTTTGAACTTTGATAAGCTGTTAGCAAAGTAGGTATGGTATTCAAACAAATGAAATGCAAGTAGAAAGTAATATATAAGTGCCTATTATTGTACTGAACCCTTAGCAGCAAACTAAAGGACATGACATTTGAAAAACTAAGGCTATGTTTATATGTAAGGCTGCACCGCTGTAAGGTCTCCTGTGTAGCCACTCTATGCCGGTGGGAGAAAGCTCTCCTGCCGGTATAATTAAACCACCCCTAAGGAGTGGCAATAGTTATATCGGCAGGAGAACATCTCCTGCCAACAAAGTGCTGTCCACACTGGCACTTTTGTCAATGAAACCTATGTCAGTCAGAGGGTTGGGTTTTTTCCCACACCCCTGACTGACAAAAGTTTTACCAACTAAAGTGCTAGTGTAGACAAAGCCTTAGTTACCGTTGAAAAGACAAAATAGAAAGTTTCTAGACTTAGATTCAAACTTTAAGTCCAGCAACTCATGATGGTGTCTCAGTTCTTTCTTTATAAAACTCATCCTATGTTTTTCCAATGGGGAGAGAATTTGTACGTAAAGGAGGATTTGAAAAGACTACTTCCTGCCAAGTGTAAATATTCAATAATTTCCCCCTTTGACCCCTTGCATGTGCAGTAACATACCCTCCTTTTCCTTGCATTCATTTTTTGCTTAGACTCTTTTACAAAGACTTTGTAGGATGGAACTTCTCCAGAGTCAATGGCTTGTTGTATGATCTTCCTTATTCTTGGCTCATCTGTATAATCAACACACAGCACAGATTCCATAATTTTGTCTATGTCTCCCTTGAAATCTTCATATGCTGCTTTAACATCAGCCAGCTCTTCTTCTGAACCTTTGTACTTCTTTTCAAAGTCTTCAATATCTTTTATGGTGATCTGAAATTTTAAAAATTAAGTTAAAACATCATGAATTACAAGATTTATTTACCACAGAAGGCAAATTCTCAACATCAGATTAGAAAAGAAATTTAGATACACATTCAAGTTTTCCAGCCCAAAATTTGATGTTAAAATTATTCTAAAAAGGGAAATGAAGGTTATTCGCCAGTAATGGGAGTTCTTCAGGAAGGACTCTACCCATTCAAACTCATGGGACAATTTGAAAAGCAGTACTGTCATCTGAAGGAAGTGGGACATGGAGGCTCTAATAAACTGAGCATCCTATTGGAATGCTAGGTGTAATGCATAATGTCCATGTAGCAGCTCTGCAAATTTCTACAATGGGAATATGCTTAAGACATGTCAAGGAGGCCCTCGTTACTCTTGTGGAATGCGATCTACACTGAAGTGCTGCAGCTCTACTCCTGTAGCGATTTAAGTATAGACATACCCTAAGGCACTGAGGCTTGGTCTACACTACAGAGTTAGGTCCATGTAAGGCAGCTGACCGACCTAATTATGTCTGTGTCTACACTAGAATGCTGCTTCCGCTGAAGTAAGTGGCCTGCTACACCGACATAATAACTGCACCTCCACGAGGTTAGGGCGACGCAGTGTCCGTGTAGACCGGGGTGGGCAAACTTTTTAGCCTGAGAGTCACATCGAGGAATAGAAATTGTATGTTAGGCCATGAATGCTCACAAAATTGAGGTTGTGATGCAGGCTCTTGGGTGGGGCTAGGGATGAGGAGTTTGGGGTTGTAGGAGAGTGCTCTGGGCTGGGACTGAGGGTTTAGAGGGGATCAGGGCTGGGGCAGGGGTGCAGGTTCCAGCTGGGGGTGCGGGCTCTGGGGTGGGGCTGAAAGGTTTGGGAAGCAGGAGGCTGCTCCGTGCTGGGATTGAGGGGTTTGGAGAGTGGGAGGGGGAGTGGGGCAGGGGGTTGGGGCATGGGGAGAGGCTATGGGGTGCAGGCTCTGAGCGGTGCTTATTTCAAGCAGCTCCTAGAAGCACTGGCATGTCCCTTCTCCGGCTCCTAGGCATGGAGCAGCTCCCGACCCTCGGAGCAGGGCCATGCCGCGGCTTCCGGGAGCCGCATGGTACGGTCCCCAACCCAGCACCCCGGCTGGAGCACCGGAGCAGGGCTGAGCTGCGTAGTGCGGCCCCTGACTCGGCGCCCCAGCGGGAGCTCACAGGCCGGCTTAAAATAGCTCGCGAACCGGGTCTGGCCTGCAGGCTGTAGTTTGCCCACCCCTGGTGTAGATACTGTGTTACTTACATTGGTTCTTGGCTGTCATTCTTGTCAGTTTCATGGCTGCCTGGACTCAGAGCAGCAGTGCTTGGGCTCACATCTGGAGCCCTGAAACTGACAAAAATGACAATTTCACTGCTGGTAGGCTCCATGCTGTGAAATTGAGCCCAACCTGGGCTCACAGCTTCCCTCCCACCCCAAGTTATCAGCCAGCCACCAGGCTCAAAACTGGAGCCTCCACCCCAGGAGACAGCCTGAGCTGTGAGCCCAGCCTCGTTATTCTTACCAAGTAATACATACTTTATTTTAGTCTGATCTCCTGCACTTTGCAGGTCACAGAACCTCATCCACCCACTTCTGTAATAGACTCATAATTTCTGGCTGAGTTACTGAAGTCCTCAAATCATTAAAGACTTAAAATTACAGAGAATTCACTATTTACACTAGTTTAAACCTGCAAGTGACCCATATCCCATGCTGCAGAGGAAGGTGAAAACCCCCAGGGTGTCTGCCAATCTGACCCGGCATAAAATTCCTTCCTGACCCCAAATATGGGTTTCAGTTAGACCCTAAGCATGTGGGCAAGACCCACCAGGCAGATACCTGGGAAAGAACTATCTGTAGTAACTCAGAGCCCTATCCATCTAGCGTCCCATCTCTGGCCATTGGGGATTTTTGCAACTGGCAGTCGCCAATGGGCCACATGCCATTGTAGGCACTCCAATCACACCATCTCCTCCATAAACTTATCAAGCTGAGTCTTGAAGCCAGTTAGATTGTTTGCCCCCACTGCTCCCCTTAAAAGCAGCTACACATTCAAGTTGGAGAAGGGATACCAAGATTGAACTTTATCATTCAGTAACTACATTATTTTAAGAGCATCAGCCTCCAGGCTAACTGACTTTTGCATCACCAGCATCTCATGATAAAAGCCCATTGAAATAACTAGTATTATCAAGGACGCCTGAGAGAAGACCATGTGCTGGCCCTCTCCTTTGACACCACTGCAGTTTGAGATTGCCCCAAATCTGATCAAAGTACACTGTAAACTCATTGCAGTAAGCCACTGTTGATTGAACCTTGGTGAAGGCAATCTAGTGAGTCTATGTAGAGCCAATGGAAATTTCTCTGCCCACTATCTTCTTCTAGGTCCCTAACCATCACTTTTGCTCTTGGTTTACACCTGAAGCATCTTGTTGCTATAGATGAACATCTACCCAACTGATCAGTGACATGTTTTAATTCAGCTAGAGCAGGGTGAATTTGATTTATATCATGAGTCAGGAAGACTCGATTTAAGCATGAATTTCTGCATAAAAGTGCATTCTTGTTGGTTGTTATAACCTTAATACACATTCTTCACAACTCAGATCGATGTAGGTTTCATTTTTAGAAGGTACACACTACACATTTTTAAACTGATTTATTTTGAAAACTTTTCAGATTAGTGTTACAACTATATCAGAAAACGAATGACTGTTTGGTTATTTCATTTACCAAAGGTAATTGAAGCAGATATTTATGAAGTCATTGGGAGGTGAACTATCTCCAATTCAACAGGTTAATCGTTAATATTTGGAGGATTTTCTTGACATGCTGTATTAGGAGGAGATCACCAGACAGACATTTAAATTGTTTTAACTAAAACAACAACATTCTGTATTCTGGATTTTTTTCTTCAACGGCAAACAAAATATTTTAACAAAACAAACATATGAATTTTTGAATTTAGTTAAACATTCAAGTTTTTTAAAATCAGGTTTGTTTTTGTTAAAATTGTTTTTAAATAGTTAAAGAATTTTTTTTTTAAATAAATAAATTAAAATTGACTATGAGGTCGACATGAGAAACTTAAAATACTGGCTTCTGTAGCTAACTCAGTCGTCTTCAGCTTCCTTTTCCTGTTTGTTCATAATCTGGAAAAGAAAAACAAGCTTTCCTGCTTTTTCAGGTCCCAAATGATTTCTCAATTTGGAATGACTTAATCCAAAGGAAGAAAATATTCTTTCTACACCGGCAGAAGACGCTACTGCTGTTAAAAGTGAGATTATCACTTCAACAGTCTCTGAATCCAAGTGCTTAAGTGACTTCCACCAGTTCACTGGCGTGACTTTCTTTAAAACATCATCAGCAAACATATATTTCTTGAATGGTTCACCCTTAGCTCTGAAGTTTATTATAGTTGGCATTATGGAGGGATGATTGCTGGATGTCCATGTCATAGCCAACTCCTCTTCTTCAGCAGTTAAGGTTTGACCCTGGTACCGAGTATTGAGAATATTTGCAAGAAAATGAGCTGGAGATAGTGCTTGTGCCATTCGTTTTTTTAATGCTTGTAATTTAACTCTGTCATTGCATATCTCTCTTTTTAAGATCTCACTCAGTTCCTTCCAAATTTCAACAGCGTCAGCAATAAAACAGCTATTTCCCTGCATTTTGTTCAAGGCTAAAGAAATAGGCTTCAGAGTACTCAGCATGTGTTCAACATTTCTCTTAAGCCCAATGTTGAAAACTTTGGCTGTGACAGTGCCATCTATTTTTTCACTATTTTGTTCACAAACTGTCATCAGATTAGGCCAGTTCTTGATATAGTGCTCAAAACAGTCCACTACTGAGTTCCATCGCACGTCTTGTGGGAGAGTTAGCTTGGTCCCTCCCACTTTTTTCAGAGCAGCTGATGCAAAGTGGTTGTTGCGGAAGTATTTTGCAATTTCAACAACATTAGCCTTTATTTCTGGAACACCGAAGTCTTTGGCTAGGAGGTGCATCAAATGAGCACTGCAACCGTATGTTATTAGCTTGGGACTCTCTTCACGCTCTTCTAAATTTCTTCTCATCTTGGATACATTTGCAACATTGTCTGTGACCAAGCTGCGTACTAGACATTTGAATTTTTTTTCACAGTTTGTTATAGCTTTTCCTGCTACTTCTTGTAAGTATTCTGCTGTGTGTGCATTTCCTGATGTATCAATTGTTTCTGTAAGGAAGACATTCCCTTCTTCTGTTGTCACACAAGCACATACAACAGGATCATTGTGGACATTGCTCCACCCATCAAGACTCAGGTTAACAATTTCACCCTCTAGACCTTTTGCGCACAGCTCAATTTCTCTTTCATACACTTTATCCAGCAATTTGCCTGCAACATCTGCTCTGTTGGGTGGACTGTATCCTGGTCTTAATGACTGAACCATGTTAATGAAGTGTGGGTTCTCAATCGTATGGAAAGGAGAGTTTGTTGCATAAACAAACCGGGCAATTTTTTCATCAATTACCTCTTTTTGTAATCTGCTGGTTCTTATCACAAACTTATCTACTGTTGTTTCTGTGTGATGGAGATTTTTTTTTCTCTTTGCTACAGGTGATATACTGTGGCTATGTGACATGCATGATGTGACTGAAACACTATCATTGACAGATAACTCTGAAACTATAGAAAATGATGGTGATCTTGAAGGTGGATAGTCTTCAGAATCCTGTATGTTGAGGATGGATTCTCCTAAACAAAGTAAGTCAATACAGTTATTTAATTATTATTACCATACTGCTCATTTAGTATTACTCGTTGCATTCACTGACACTCAGTACTACTTTAAAGGTGAAATTGTAAAAGGAAGATCTGCCTATTTCAGCTATTTCTTTATCACAACTGCATCTAAAATGATAGTACCATAGAGTAACAACTCTCAAACGTAAGAATTCAAGAATAGTCCAGAAGGAAGACAGGCAGTCCGTAAGAAAGAAGTATGAATTTAAACAGTTTACCAACCTGGAGATCCTGCATGGTCAGACATGTTCCTTTCATCATCTTCAATGCAACTTCCTCCTGAGAAGGAACACTTCTCATGATGTTGTTTCATTCGGGCAACCAAGCCTTGCATTTCTTTGCTGCACTGTTTGCATTTTGCACGCATGCCTGTCTTACCCACAGGTAGAGGAACTTCATTAAAATATTCCCAAACTGGGTCTCTTTTACGGCCTGCTGCCATTATAGGTTTTCCCTTCTAGTGAGAGAATGGTAGAGCAACAGAATTAGCAACTGCCCAGGACAGTACAACACTAGGGCAGATATGGTAGATACCTAGAAAGAAAACAAGTTCCCCTTAACCAGGGCCACAGCACTTTTAGAGCATGCACCAGATGTAGAGATCATTCTCTAGCAATTCCAGACACATCCTCCCTTCCAGGAGCACTAAATCTGGGACTCACGCAGTAGCAGAGCTAAGAATTCCCCTAGGTCATTAGCCCTTCACTGCAACAGCGCCTACCTTCTTGAAGAGCAGTCTCCAGTATTCCTCCCAGTCGCGGTCCTGGCTCAGAACGTCTGACTCCTCATCTACAATCCCCTGCTCGTCATACAGCGCCCGCTGGTCCTGGTCACTCAGTACCGCATACACCTTGCCTAGGAACTGAGGAAACAACCGTCACCCTCCGCAGCGAGTCTCGGAGCAGCGGCTGCCTCCCCCTCCCACTGGACAGCCACGGGAAGCAGCCTTCGCTGCGGCGGATTCACGACGCTGCTCACAAGCAGCTGTGGCCCTACAGCTCCACACGGCTGAGCCCGAGCTCCGCCTGGGCCGGGGCACTTACACAAAGCGGCTATCAGCATAACAGGGGCCAACAGCGGTGCCCACTCCTGGGGAGGCGGCAGGGGTGCTCGGCCCAGGGGGCGTCTCTCTTCCCTTCACCACCGCGAGCTCACCTGGAAGTGCCGGGTCGCCTCCTCCTTGCGGTCTGGGGCCGCGCGGTCCGGATGGACCCGCAGCGAGACCCTGTGGTAGCCGCGGCGGATCTCGTCCCCCGAGGCCTCCCGTCTGACGCCCAGCACTTGATAGAGGTCGGCGGCGCCGAACGCCGCCTCGCACTGCTCCAGCAGCCCCATCCCGCCGCTGGCGCCTCGTTAGCGCCGCGCGACTAGCTGATCCGTTTCGCGGGCCGAGTTTGGCGCGCGCGCTACGTCTGCGACCCGCGCGGCTTTACGGCCGGGTCTGGAACTGCCGCAAAGACGCGCAGTTGAGGCAGGGAGCGCAACTAAATTCTGCAGCCCTTAGCTGTCGTGAATACAGCCCCGCCCCCAGGAAGTTTCGCGTTACACGGCGGGCTGGCCGCTGGCAGAGACTGGCCGTCCCTGGGACTTCCCCAGTAGGAAGCGGGACTGGCCGCTGCCCACGGGTCCCTGCCCTGTGCGTCGTCCCAACACTCAGCGAGATGTCCGCGCCCAGAGCGGTGCGAAGCGCAGGGCCGGTCTGATTCACATTGGCGCCGCGCTCAGCCGCCTGACGCACTTTGTCTGTCTCGCGGCTGTTACTGAGCATGCGCGGTACCATCTGCAGAAGGCGGGCCTCAGTCCTAATGACCGTCTTTGCTGCTGCTCGGGCCGGGGGCTAAACGGAGGGGAGGCGGGAAAGTGATTGCGCACTGGGCGTTAAACAGCTGGAGGAGGCAGGGGAAGGCGAGGGGCCTAGGGGCAGGACGGTAACCACAAGGTGGGCGTTATCTCGTATGAAATCCTTCTCCAAGGCAAAATTTCACTGTTACTTTAGGTTTCAAAGTAGCAGCCGTGTTAGTCTGTAGCCGCAAAAAGAACAGTACTTGTGGCACCTTAGAGATTTCAGATGCATCTGAAGAAGTGGGCTGTAGCCCACGAAACCTTATGCTGAAATAAATGTGTTAGTCTCTAAGGTGCCACAAGTACTCCTGTTCTTTTTACTGTTACTTTACGTGCTACAGGCTCACAACACCACTAGATTCATACTTCTGCTCTAACCTCGCCCAAAGAATCCATGTACCTAAAACAGTTGTACATTCCTATAACATTCAATATCATTTTGAACTTCCAGTACTATGATACCCACTTCCTTTCTAATGAAAGACTTACCCATCTTGCACAGAGAAGTGTACACTTTATTACTTCACGGGTTGTATGTATAGATGTTTATTTTTCTACTGAGTTTATACTTTTAATGGCATATTTTAATTTCATAACCTTTTACATGTACTACATATTATTATAATACATTTCAGTAATGTTCTTCATTGACACATTTACCGTTCTGTACTGCCAAAATCAAGGATATTTTTAAAATGAATTATCCAGTTACTCCTGAGCATTGGTTGGATAGTAGGCATAGTTCAGATCTCATCTACTGTGTCTTTTGGAGAAACTAAAGTGCCTTATGTCTCCACTATGTTTTTACAGTGGGATAGCTAATTCATTTATTTACCTTACTAGTTAAACCACATTTTCTTAACATGGACCACAAACTATAATGCTGACAGATGTTAAATGAATCATTATTCATAGTTTGACAATTCTGATACTGATTCTGTGGCTAACACTGCTTCTTTGCCATGAAAGGTACTTGCATTTAAGTATCTGTAGCCCCCCTCCCCATCCCATTTGTGTGGGTGTCATGGAAAACCCGTTAAAGCTAAATGAATTAACAAAAGCTTTTCCCTCCTTAGTTTCCCTTATTCCCTTCCCTTATTAAGTGTTTGTCTACATGGTGTCACTATAAATATGTGAAGTGAATGCACATAAGTTACAGCACCTTAAACTTGCATGGATGCTCTCATTCAGAAGTGGCCTTAGTTTTGACAGTGGCAGTCAGGGGAACCCCACTAGTGGGGCAGGCTCAGCCCAGGCTGAACCATAGCTTCTCCCTTCTTGGAAGAGCTCAGGTTTCATTTTTAAAGATGTACACATATAGCATTTGTGGTTGGAAAGCAATGTGAGTAGAAAGGCTGACAAGAGCGGAGTAAAATACACCAGACTCTGCTGCAGGGTGTTAATGCTAAAGCGTAATGGTGACACATCAGAAGCCAACACTAACTACCATAACTTGGTCACGTCAGCAAGGGTTTCTCTCATTCCTATAGCACCTGGCCTATACTGCTAGATAGTGTGGTCATTATCCACTACCCTCTCCCCCTCCACTATCATTCCTGTCCTAACTACAGCAATTGCATGCATCAAAGTGTAATATCAACAAAATATAATAGTTTAGCAGTCTTAATATGACTGAACAGCTAGAAACAGTAGGAACAAACATTATATGCAATGTACTGGATTGAAGAGTCCTCTATCATCAAGTTTCTGCTCCCCACGTAGATACTTACAGACTAATAAAGTCACCTCTTCATGTTCATTTTGGTAAAATAGATATTAAATAGATTGAGCTTGAGTCTGTCACTATAAGGCATTCTTATAACAATCAATCCTTTAATCATTCTCATGTCTCTTCTCTGAACTGTCTCCGATTTTTCAACATCCTTTTTGAATTGTAGATACCAGAACTGGACATAGTATTCTAGTACCCAGTGCCAAATACAAAGGTAATACAACCTCCATACTCTTATTCAATATTGCCATTTATATATTCAAGGATTTCATTAGAAATGATCAAATAGTTTTCACTGTATATAATGTTTTATCAGCCTATTCATGCTACTGTTATGGAAGATTAGTCAGAGGCAGGGATTCTCAAACTTCATTGCACCACGACCCCATTCTGACAACAAAAATTACTACATGACCCAAGGAGAAGGGACCAAAGCCTGAAGCCGCCCGAGCCCCGTGGCCCAGGGTGGTGGTGGAGGGGCGCAAATACTAAAGCCCAAGGGTTTCAGCCCCAGGCAGAGGGCCTATAACCTGAGCCCTGCCACCCAGAGCTGAAGCCCTGGGGCTTCAGCTGTCAATCTGTTACTGTAACTGTCAATATGTTACAGGCTTCAGAACTTCCTATGACTCCTTGCTTTTTTTCCTCATTCAAGGAGAAAATTCCACAAATATAAAGTTATTTGGAATTGCTTTCAGTTAGTTGTAATTACTGTAAGTTATTTGACATACAAGTTTGGAATAACTTTTGGGAAATGGGAGATTATTTCTAAAAGGTAACTTCTCTAGAAGCCTAGAGTTTTGCCACAGACTTCAGCAAGGGGAGAAGGCTCCAAGAGACACCAATCAGATCTTGACAAAGCCCAGTTTTATTCCTAAATCAGAAACCATTGTTTTGTAACAGTGGATAACTTAAAAAAAAGTGTATATTGCTTCTCTTGGAAACTACCCCAAAACTGACAATAATAAAATGGTGTTTTGCAGATTTTTGAAGTAATGGCATAAAACTCAAGGGAAAATATTTTGTACAAAACTCATTGATTTTTTTATTCTATTCAACTTAAATGTATGCATAGATGTGTGATACATACAAAGTGGTACACAGATGAATATGGATGCAAGTAACAAAACTAAATGTGTACATAATTCTGAAGTTTACATTTGTTGTGAGAGGAACTGAAATTAGCAAAAATACACAGCTAGACATTTATTTCCAGCTAATGCATGCGCTATTAACACTAGGGAGGAAACAGAACATACCTCTGTTGTAAATTCAAGTTTCACCTCCCAATTAGTTACAACATCTAGAAGATAATATCGTTGATTATGGTTGCTTTCATTAAAAACTAACACTTGTCTGCATTACTGTGGGCTCAAGAATGCTCTTCCCATCACAATCAGTCAGTATCAAAAGTATTCACAGCTTGATTAATGTTGATTAGGTTTATACACACTATGTTACACCTGCAAAGATCATTTCTCTAGATAATTCTGAGAAAGATATTCAAATCCCTCTTACCCAATTTTTTCTTAAATATCTTATATAAACCATCTTACTTTTTTTTTTCCAAAAATTCAGTGCTAGTGCTAAGTGCATTAACACTTACAAGCAGAATAAAGTCATGGCAATCAAGTAATTAAATATAAAACATTTACCAGCTTTATTCTTCAGAACTTTTTGTCTTTAATTTTGCCATAACTTCTGGCGATGAAGAATCTTTAGTTCTTTGAATCTTCTTTATAGTTTTAACCCTCTTTTTTGAAACAACCTTTTTTATGGTTTTCTTCTGTGTTGCAACTCCTGATTTTTTGAGTCTGTTTTTGTAACGTATCAGATCTTCACGTCCAACATCAACCATTTGCTCCTCCCATGACTTCATTTCATTTTCATACCGAACCTTGTCATCTTCAGCAAGCTGTAGATATGTCTGAGAAATCATTTAAGATGTTTCAATATTTCCTTAGGTAAAATTCTGGCTGTTGCTGTAAATGGAAATTCTGCCAAATCCCATGACATTTTCCCCTTCCCAATGCTCCACAAGAATTTGAAGCATCTGTTTCTTAGAAGCAAATTCACTCACAAATGAAAGCACTAATAAGTTGCTGCATAGTAAGTTATTTATCTCTTTAAACGACATATAGTCTATTTCAAATTCCTCAGTAACCTCTACCTTCACTTTCCTAAGAGCTGTCATGTCTTCTGCTTCTTGAGACCTTCAGGCCCCCTCTACACCTTCAATTTTCCCTCCATCCTAGTGCCTTATGTTGAAGTAGAATATTCAGGCAATTGCATATTTAAAATTTGCAAATTTACTCTTCTGGAATGTTTTAAGCAATTTCAGCTAAACCAGATAAGGTATTAGCTGTATGCTCTACTAAACTCGTGAGCAGTGAAACAATGTTGAGATTTCAGACTTAATACTTCAATGAGGAAACTGCCTTTTCAATTTTAAATGTTAGAAAAACTATTTGTATAGCATGGTGCTTTACACCCAGACAGACAAGTCCCCATCTTGAGCTTACAATATAATATACTCTGTTTGCATGAAGTCTTCTTATGAGCACATTAGAAGTGTGTTACCTATTTGCACAGACATATTAGACCCCCAGATAAAATCTTTAACTCTCCCTTTTCCCCATTGCTAAGTAAATATTAGCAAAGAAATACTATGTATAGGGGCAGTTAAGGTTACAGCAGGACAAATTCCATCTATCCAAAACTTTAGAAGAATGGAAATAAAAAGTTAAGTAGAAAGACTTGTGCATTTCTCTCCATTCAACTATTGATATGATAATATACTCCAATACTCCATAAGGCTTTTGTTTCCAACAAATACCAAAAAGCAATAAATGACCTCAACTTCAAATTTGCACTTTAACACAAAACCTTAACAGTAAGATCATATTCTTTTATATCAATTATGCCAACAGATCAGTACATCTGACTGTCACATTCCATGCATTTGGGAAATGATTCTGCCTTACCATTTCTGAGGTCACTAAGGTTTTGCATTGGAGTACAAGTTTGATGAAGCTGGGGTACATAAGGATTAAAGCTGGAAAGAGAAACCCAACAGATATTTCTGCACAACCAATTTCAAATTTGATTTTCTCTCTAGAAAGAATATGAAATATAAAATAGCTGTATGCTCCAATTACACATTCAAACAAACATTATTTGGACAAAGGAAATTCAGGACAAGAAATGGCAGGTTTAAAAGAAAGTCAAGATTAATAAAGGCCAATTGGGTTTTTATTAGGGATGTCAAGCGATTACAAAAATTAATCATGATTAATCACACTATTAAACAATAATAGAATACTATTTATTTAAATATTTTGGGTGTTTTCTACATTTTCAAATATATTGATTTCAATTATAAAACAGAATACAAAGAGTACAGTACTCGCTTTATATTTATTTTTGATTACAAGTATTTGCACTGTAAAAAAACAAAAGAAATAGTATTTTTCAAATCACCTAATACAAGTACTGTTGTGCAATCTCTATCATGAAAGTTGAATTTACAAATGTAGAATTATGTAAAAAATCTTGCATTCAAAAATGAAACAATGTAAAACTTTAGAGTCTACAAGTCCACTCAGTCCTACTTTTTGTTCAGCCAATTGCTCAGACAAACAAGTTTGTTTACATTTGCAGGAGATAATGCTGATACCAGACACCTCTGTGTTCTTGGGGAACCAGGGTGCAGTATCCAGCCTGACTCATGAAAGACACCCCCTCCCCCCCGCCTCTGCTTAAACCAAAACTCATCAGAGGAAAAAACTTGCAGAGAGCAGTGAAGGGCGTTGGGAGACACACCTAGACCCCTCCTGACAAGGGTGACAAGATTAAGACATCTCCATTAGCATACAGAATGGAGAGCAAAGACAACTCCCCTAGCCTCATCTGCATGAAAGATGGGACAGGAAGACATCTCAATTTACATACAGAATGGAGAACAGAGAACCACACTGATTTCTGGGACCAGAAAAAGCAGGGAAGCACTGCATCATGGGAATCTCTGCTCCAGATGAGAATGAACCTATGTCTGCACACACCCAGCTCAGCAATTATCAGACCAATTCTAGTAATGAATCCTTAATTGATATCCAAATACTGAAGCAGCCTAGTTGCATTGTGAGCTCCCTGGAAGAAAAAACCACCCATAGCCAAGAGTGATCAGCTCCTATTGTCTAGCCTAAAGAAAAAACCTTTGAGTCTTCAACTTACCTATAAACAAATCTAGTGTTCTCCCTTGAACAACTGTATTTTCTCTACAAAAATCCCTACTCACCCTCTAGTCAGGGTTCTGATGCTTAGATCCAAACTATGCATCAGTTCCACTGGAACTCCATCTTCTCCTGACTGATCGTGCTGGGGGCTCTGCCTGTCTCCAGCATTCAGGACCCTCCACTACCACCATCACCTGGGAACCCCGACCAGTTCAAGCCTCATGGAGTGGGTGAGATCCCCCTCTTTCGCTCTCTCTGTTTTCCTTTCTACCTTAGGTATTAACCTTTAATAATGTATGTTACGTTGGTTTAGCCCTCCTTGTGTAGTTATCACTATTATTCAATACATAACTTTTATGGTTAAGTTGGTTGCTTCTCTCTCTTGCTGAACTTTACTTTTTTGTGTTTTTAGCTCCCTCCATTCACTCTACAGCAACGCTTCTTTTACCTAAGCTAAAGATCCCTGCAGTGCCCAAAATATTGTGGGGTTTGCTCATCAAGTAGGTTACTGCCAGTACAATTGTGTTGTGAGAGTGGGGATAGGGACGTGCTGAATCTGCGACGCATAAGGGTAACAGCTTGAAAGTGCTGCTTGACCCAGTCCATGGAGCCCAGGGGCGTGTGTGCGTGCATGTCCGTCCGGTTTTGGGGCTGGAGAAACCCAGCCCTAGGGAACCTAGGTCCTGCAGGATAACTCCATTGGGAGGGGACTTGCAGAAGGGAGAGGTAGAGCTCCATATGAAAACACAAGTGACACAAGCAGTACATTGATAGAATTACAGAATCCCCTTCCCCAGAAGAGTAACCTGAATAAATGAACATACCCCAAAGTAATGGGCAAATCTGGTAACAATGCTGCCCGCTTGTTTACCATATCACCTGAAAGTGAGAACAGGCCGTTCACATAGCACTTTTGTAGCTGGCATTGCAAGGTATTTATGTGCCAGATGCACTAAAGATTCATATGTCCTTTCATGCTTCAACCACCATTCCAGGGGACATGCGTCCATGCTGATGATAGGTTCTGCTCAATAACAATCCAAAGCAGTATGGACCAACATGTTCATTTTCATTATTTGAGTCAGATGCCACCAGCAGACGATGGATTTTCTTTTTTGGTGGTTCGGGTTCTGTAGTTTCCGCATCGAACTGTGGCTCTTTTAAGACTTTGAAAAGCATGCTCCACACCCCATCCCTCACAGATTTTGGAAGGCACTTCAGATTTTTAAACCTGGGGTCGAGTGCCATAGCTATCTTTTGAAATCTCACATTGGTACCGTCTTTGCGTTTTGTGAAATCTGCAGTGAAAGTGTTCTTAAAATGAACAACATATGCTGGGTCATCATCTGAGACTGCTATAACATGAAATATATGGCAGAAAGCAGGTAAAACAGAGCAGGGGACATACTTAAATTTGTGACTGAACTCCTTGGGGAGAATAGTAACACATTTTTTTTTTTAAACGAGCATCATCAGCATGGAAGCATGTCCTCTGGAATGGTGGCCGAAGCATAAAGGGGTATACGAATATTTGGCATATCTGGCACGTAAATACCTTGCAATGCCGACTACAAAAGTGCCATGCGAATGGCCTGTTCTCACTTTCTGGTGACATTGTAAATAAGAAGAGGGCAGCTTTATCTACTGTAAATGTAAACAAACTTGTTTGTCTTAGCGCTTGGCTGAACAAGAAGTAGGACTGAGTGGACTTGTAGGCTCTGAAGTTTGACATTGTTTTATTATTGAGTGCAGATATGTAAAACAACAAAAATCTAAATTTGTAAGTAGCACTTCCACAACAGAGATTGCACTACACTATTTGTCTGAGGTGAACTAAAAAATACTATTTTTTTTAAAATCAGTTTTACAGTGCAAACATTTGTAATCAAAAATATTATACACTTTGATTTCAATTACAACACAGAATAAAATATATATGAAAATGTAGAAAAACATACAAAATATTTAATAATTGTCAACTGGTATTCCATTGTTTAACAGTGCAATTGAAACTGCAATTAATCGCGATTTTTTTTTTTATCGCGATTAATTTTTTTTTACTTAAATTGCGTGAGTTAACTGCAATTAATCAACAGCCCTAGTTTTTATACTATTTTAATGTGGAATGCTTCAAATATTCTTATATACAGATCTGGAGCATCATACCTCAGTGCACTGTTAAAGACAGTAAAAAAGCCACATGAAGTAAGATTTTTCCCATGCATGTAACAGTGTTATTTTTAAAATTTCTATTAAACATAGCAAAAGATCTCATTCCCCATGAGAACCAAATCCATTACTAGTTTGAAGTTTTTAAAAAGATCTAATTTCATTTATGAAAGCAAGAAGTTAATTTGAAAAATTTAACTGTTTTTTCCTTTCATACTCAGGAATCAATATTCCTCCCCAACAACACCCACCCATTCCACTGCTTAATGAAATGTTATCAATATTTTTTTTAAAATGGTCACTGTTGTGTTAAGAATCAATATGAGACATTTCAGCTTGAAGTGTAATTGGTTTCAAGAATTTATAAAATAAATGAAAATAAAATCTTTTAGTAAAAAACGCACTTTAACTATAATAAAAGGTCGGTGTAACTGGAATTTACAAGAGTGTTCTGGAGTCAGAATGACTAAACTGTCATTCTGTAGTTGGATAACACTTAGCTGAACTGGAGCCTCACCAAAAGCTAGACACATACCTGCTTTTGAGAACTGGATAGATCTTGCCATTCTTCAAATAAATTCTTCATCTTTGCCTACAAAATACAAACTCTCTCAAACTCATGTAAAAAATTTGGATAATGAGATTCTCAAGCGTATAAGCTAAAAGGGACTAAAGTCCTCCTAAAGCAAAATTAGTTGACAGCTAAATAGCTTTGATTCCTGTAAAAACCTCCATTCTTCGTCCTCTTAAAATGGAAAGTTGTGCACTGCTTGAGATGGGACAGTATGTACCAGTACAGAATACCAGCACACACAGTTTCGTGAACAAGCATCAACAAGGAAATGACCAAAATCTCTGAAGTGCTATCTGCATGTACTTTACAAATTAGACATCTTGATTATTTCACTCTGTTTGTAAATATTATTTGAACTTTATAAATACTGTCAAAGTCTTCATGAAATAGGTAAACTGGGACTGGTAATTTTGACCTTTTTACAGATGGAGAAATAGAGGTGAATTGACTTGCTCATGGGCACCCAGAACGTCACAGAAAGGTGACTAGAGCCAGAGGGAGCAAACATGGGAAAACACACAAAAGGGAAGGGCTAAATATGAGGAAACTAGCTAGGAATAAAATTGGTTATGGGGGAAAGTAAGGATAGAAGATGAAGGTGTTTGCTGAATTGGAAGGTAGGCAGATGTTAGAAAACAGATGGAGAATTGAGGGTACAAGGAAGGTAAGCAGAGAGCAAGAAGAGGAGACTAAACAAGGTGGAATGAATACACCACTCATAAGTGATAGTCTGACTTTTTGGGAGGTGGATACTTCCCCATCACTAAAAGTCTGCTCCAATGCAAAAGTGAAACAAAAACCAATTAACTTGTTCAAGCATAAATGGGCAGACTTATGGGTAGTCTGCCAAGGGGATCATCTATATATTTCTGTTGTTGTCCATCTAGTTAGTTTTTAAGTGAGGTGAAACTTGGGGGTTCACAAGACAAATCAGACTCCTGAAAGGGATACAGTAGTCTGGAAAGATTGAGAGCCACTGACCTATACCTACATGAGACATACAGTTTACACTTACTATTCCTGATCATCTTAGTTCTAGGGAAAGAAGCTGGTTGATTATATGAATGGATCACCTCAGCGAAAAATGCCTTGCATCACTCGCTGACCCTCTCCATATAATCAAACGTAATTGCAGGATATCAAAGAGTTCCTTCCACTCAGCTGGGAAATTAGTGGCCTTGATACTAAGCATGGGTTAAATATAGTTTTCTCTCCAGTCAGATCAACTTTATCATGATTTGAATCTATTTTAATTATGTTTTGCATTTGTAGATCCTGCTGGTGTGCTTTCACATAGTACTGTTTGAAACATGTATGTTAAAGTTTACTAGGGAACCTTTATGGCACACTAGCAGGATCTACATAGATCAATCAACACATTAGCATGCTTTAGAAATCACACCCAGTAGAATGCATTACCTCACTGTATAGACAAGTGCTGATTTGGTTAAACTGGGGCAACCTTCTGTATGGCTTATTTATAGTTTAAGTCAATTTGGAACAGGCTGAAGCTAATCCAAAAATAAGCCACACTTAAACCAAAGTCATCATGTCCACACATGACTTACTCCAATCAGTTTAAATTCACACCTGAAGTTAAATTGGTGCAAATTTCTTGTGCAGACAAGGTCTTCATTAAAGTGATGCAACCCTGTGTTTAGACCTAAGAAAGAAGCAGGGAAAAATGGAATTCTCCAGTTACTGAATAAGAGGGAGTAAGTCTTCAGAGTGTACAGTACTGCAAGACTTTCTGATTTATTAAGTCCATGTATTCATTGAGTGGCTCAGTTTGGATAGCAAGCAATTAGCAGCAAGCGTTCAACCATGCCCTAAAAATTCCCACTTCTGCCTAGCAAAGAAAGATCCAGAAACACTGAACTGTTTGAATTGTTACCCATAAGAGAAGCTAGAACAAATTTTCTGAATGCAACAAATTTTGGAAGATAGTCGTTTTAACAATGAAGAAATCTAAAGTTAACCAATTTTGTCTTGTTTACCTGAACTGAAATTCCCTTAGCTTCTTGGAAGTGTTCAGACATAAAAATGTTAAAGCCAGTACGAGGTCTTTTAGGCTTTCCAAGCACTGTTAATTCCTAAAAAATTGTAAGAAGGCAGAAGTTATTTTTCTGTGAATGAGTCAACCCACTGATTATATATATTTATAATCTGTTTCAATTCCTTTTAGCAAAGCTGATTATACCATTAGCTTTTTATTGACCATTTTACACTTACTAAAAAAAAGGAAGCATTTTACAAAAAGATCAATTTCTTATGCAAAATTGCATTACACTGTGGACAATTAAGGTTTACACTAACACCAAACTAAACTAGTCTTCACTTGTGAACCGACTCATATTTTAACCCAGATTGAGACAATAGGCTAGAGTTGAGCCTAGTGGAGGAAGGGATCATGACTAGCTACATGAACTGAAGTGTGGAGGGCTGCACTAAACATCTCAGTTTCTTCTAAGGGTCATTTTTATTTCGCTATCAGTGGACTCCTTGAACAAAAATGAGTGGTTAATTTATTAGTAAGGCTCCTGCCACATCTATCTTAAGCAGGTTAACAATTTGCCTTTGATACTAAACAGAGCATAAAATTTCTGGCCTTGCCTGGGAACCTCCATTTGTTGGATTGCGCCAATTGTGATTTTATGATATTTTCAAGCATTGATTAGAGGAAGATAGACAGCTCCTTCTTTAGGACAATGGAGAAGTTGTTTTGTAGTTTCACTTTACCCCGATCAGCATTTTCCTGCACTCATTGGACAGGCTCTGGACTCATATTGAGAGGTAACTACATTGCAAAGCATTAGATCAAAACAGTCTGCTTTAAAGAGCTTTTCCTGAGTTGTTTCTTCCATTACCTATAGTTTTAAATCCAAAAGTTCCTCTTCTTCAGGGGAAGATGAAGGTATGACACTGCACCCGATATTCATAGTAATATTATTATATGATATGATTATAGCATAATTAGGATATATTTTATGCAAGATAAGTCATGTGAGGTGTCATTGGAAAAGTTATGATTTGCTGAATATGATTATCCTATTTGTATGCATGTATCTTTTTGTATCTGAAGTTATGAATATTGACTACGTATCTGTATTTCAAATGTAGCTACACCTGGGCGATGCCCACTAGACAAGATGCTTTCAGTCTAGATAGCTGATTGGGAAGGGCCTATTCAAGGCAATAAGCCATTAGAAAAAACAACAGGCCCTCAGAGAAGCTTATCTCCCACCTGGTGAGCCTTACTGAGAACACTCCTAACAGCCTGCAAGTAATGGCTGCTATGACTCTACAAGGACATGTAACCAGGTCACATGATTCTGGATTCCATCTTGGGATGTCAGTATTTTTCCACAAACTGGCCTGGGAACCAAGTTTTGAAACAAAGGGATCCTGCCATATGCTAAAACTATATAAGGCAGGGAGTATCATCTGTGGTTGTTCACTCCCCACACAAGAAGACTACTGGAAATACCTGAGGAACAAAGACTGAACTGGGGGAAGTGCTGGACTAAAGGGATTTCTAGCCTGTGTATGAAACACCTGGGGATTCCAAGCTGTAACGCAAGTGCATCTTGCCCCTTAAGGATCTGCAGCCTGCTTGTATCATCTCTTAGGGTGATAATCTGCTAATTCATATCCAATCTATCTAGTATATTAAGCTTAGTGTGGGTTTTTTGTTTATTTGCTAGATAATCTGATTTGATCTGTTGCTATCCCTTATAATCACTTAAAATCAAATAACCTAATAAATCTAATAACCGTTTGTAGTTAATAAACTTGTTTTTATTTTAATCTAAACCAGTGAGCTTTGACTGGAAGGCTTGGGGAATATCTCTGCTTGGTTACCACAAGTGTGCATTGTTCTCTTCACATTGAGGGAGAGGCGAACCGCATATTAAACCCATATACTGACCAGATTTGACCAGGGCAGGATGGTACTGCTCTGGGGTCCTAGGCTGGGAAGCTGATGGTTAGAGAGCCTGCGTGTAACTGCAGCTGGGTGTGTCCCTTACCTGTATGAATGCTGGTGAAAGTGTAGGCTGGAGGGCTTTGCAGCTTGTCACAGCAGTACAGTGTGAGAAGGAGCCCAGGCTGGTGGGTTAGGGGGCTCGGTGGTACTCAAGTTCCGGGTGGCACCCAGGATGAACCCATCACAGAAGGAGTGGAAGGAGAATATTTACATTTCTTAATTCTGGAGTTCTTACTCTGATACAAAGGACATGTGAAGTGCCAACCTTACTACCCAGTCTTGTATAGGTGTTGGTGGCTACAATGGTTTTGGGGAGGCTTAGGCAACTGGATAACATCCTGGAGCTGAGAAATTCGGGGGCTGGTGGACTGAATCCTCATGAAAAGCTATTTCCAGGACGCCTCCTCCACTTGGAGACCTCTGGTGTTGTTGCTCCCTCCTGACAGGCCTCTTCCAGGACACTGTCCATATGGGAAATAACTGGAGTGGAGCACTTGCTACCTAGTCACTGTTACTTGTTCTTTTTGCTGAAATTATCTGCCATCTTCACCTTGGCAGAGGGGACTATTTCAGGCTGTGGCAAATAAGGGTTAATAATTGGCTTTGCAGCATACGCAACCAAATACTGCAGGACTGTGCTGATTCTCATGCACCAGAAGGTGAAACTGGCAGGTCTATTTTCACAGTCTCAGTTAAGTGAAATGGAAAAAAGTATAGCATAGTGAGAAGCAAATTAAATAAAGTAATCAATTAATAAACTAAAGTATTACAGGAAACATCAGTAATGATTTAAGTATGATTTTTAACCTGACAGCATTCCTTTAAAACATTATTTCTAGCCTTGCATTGTAATCATGTTTAATAACCATTTGAAACAACCAGATTAATACATTTAAGTTACCTTAAAAGGGAAAATGAAATCACATTTTGAGTACTTACCCTCTTTTTCCTCGTTGCTTTTCTTTTTGCCCGTTTTTGTCTCCTTTCTTCTTTCAAAGCTAGTATCTGGGCTGGACTTAACTGTGCTTTGTATTTGGCCAGTTCTTCTTTGTATGCTTGCCTCTCTACTTTTGCAGCTGCTTCATATGTCTATAAGCACAAAAATCATGAAAGCAACCATAACTGTCAATTTGAGCTAAACATTCTACCTTTAAAACAGTGACTCTCAACCTTTCCAGACAACTGTACCCCTTTCAGGAGTCTGATTTGTTTTGCGTATCCCCAAATTTCACCTCACTTAAAAACTACTTGCTTACAAAATCAGACATAAAAATACAAGTGCCACAGCACACTATTATTGAAAAATTGCTTACTTTCTCATTTTTACCATATAATTCTAAAATAAATCAACTGGAATATAAATATTGTACTTGCATTTCAGTCTACAGTATACAGAGCAGTATAAACAAGTCATTGTCTGTATGAAATTTTAGTTTATTCTGACTTCGCTAATGCTTTTTATGTAGTCTGTTGTACAAGTAGGCAAATATCTAGATGAACTGATATACCCACTGGAAGACCTCTGTGTACCCCCTAGGATATGAGTACCCCTGTTTGAGAACCACTGCTTTAAAACACTCTAAAGATCAAACAGCCTTCCAAACCATGCAGGCTATAGCAGGATACAGATATTGGCCTGCCATGCAGTAAACAGAATCATCAGGCTACACAGAGTCCCTAGAAATAATCAATGCAGCAGAGATGCATATCATCTCTAGCAAAGAAGAGTTCTTGTAACATGAGCTCCCCAGCTCCCATGTGTAACAGCCCCATATCTTTGTCCTGCCCCTCCTTTCCCTGGGGGAGGGGGGACATAATCCATGGGAGTTAGTCTTCAGGATGAAGTAACCTCATGAGCGACACAACAGTAATTCGATATAACTACTCTTTAGACCCTCTGCCATGCATGTATCATATTATGCATTCACAGCAACTGTATCAATGGTACTCACCATCATTTTGATTGAAAAGCTAACCAATGTGTTAACTACCACTATATCAGATTCCATTAGTTAAGAGCTAATGCAGCAACTACACCAGTGATGGGCCTCCTAATGCTTCTGAATGCTCCTGTCTGGCTTCAGAGACAGCTGTAATAACTCAGAGTACACTAGCTCTGTCACTTATCAAGCTGGCTGCATGCAAGTCCAAGAACAGCTGAAGAGTTACTCTCCTGATTTCCCGCAAATACCATCCAATTCCCTCCTCTCACAAAGTAGCCATCCCTCCCTGTTTCTCTTGGATGCACTGCCTTGGTGTTGGTTGCGGGGCTGCCAGCAGGGGTTGGCCACTGCCACCCTCTGGAGACACCTGAGGCATAACACTGGAGGAGCAGGCAGCCAGTGATTTCCCCACCTTCCCTGGGGTAGTGGGGCTCAGATTTTGGGCTTCAGCTCTGGGAAAGCAGGGCAGCAGGCTCCGGCTGCGGGGCTTCAGGCTCCACCCCAGAGCTCTGGCTGCGCGGCAGGAGGCCCCAGGCTCCAGCTGCACAGCTTCAGGCTCCATCCCCCATCCATGGGGCTTTGGGATCTGGTCACAGGGCTTCAGATTCCCGCCCCCCGCTGCCTCCCCCAGCCACCCACCCACCCACCCACCCCATTGCCCCGACACCCCCCCCATCCAGGACTTAATTGTTCCCAAGGCTTGCCAGGGCTGAGTAAGTCTGCTGTGAAAAATGATACTTGTATGTTTGTTACTATCACTTTTCGCAACAGACTTACTAGCTAGCAATAAATAAATTACAATTATTTGGACGTGTATATGTGCATATTTATTTGTTTTTCCTAAAGCTAATCAAGTATTTTAGGAAAAAAAATATGAGAGTAGCCACCACCACGAGTTCGTGGCCGCACTCTGAGGCCACCAAAAAATTTGTCCTGAGAACTAATCTTAGAACACTGCTAGCACCACAGCAAGGATGCTTGGGCCAAGATGACTAGTTCTGGAGTGCCGAAGTAGTGCAGAGTACCAGAAACTAATTGCACTCAAGCTCCAAAGCAGGTGCCAAAGTGCTGAGTCACCAAAGTACCCAAAGCAAAGGCCTCAAAAATATAGTAAGAGCAGATTTGACAGGAAAGCAGAGAGGAAATATGAAGATAAATACCTGATATGTTACTGGAAACCAGGCTAGAACTGGAGCAATGGACAGTCAGGTGCTGCCTCCAACAGGGAGTTCCTTTTATAACTGTAGTCAAGAAGCAACTGGCTTGGAATGTTCCAAGGGCAGCATTTATATTCTGCATTGGGTAGCAATTGCACTGGGGACCCTAGCTCATACTCTACCTCTCTATTGCTGCCCTCAAGGATCAAAAGGAGAGGTAACGCACAAGTTTCCCAGTCTTGCATTAAGAAGTTAAGACCCAGAAGTGAAAAATCTCACACAGATAGTACCTTTAGAGAAATTACTTTCAACAGATTAGAGCCTGAACTCCAGGATCATAATCTCATCAGGAGGAAAGACTGTACTATGTGATCTCTCACAAAATGGGAGTCTCATTTACCATAACAGCACAAAGACAGGAGACCAAGAGAAACAGGAAGTATATAGGTTAGTATAATCATGTGGGACCCCTCTGAATAGCTATTTTCTATAATACATCAAGTTTAGGTGCTATATCTGAGCAATAAGATTTATGCAGTTTATTTCACTTACATATTACAAAGCACATAGATTTATACTATAACAATTAAAATAAAATATCAAAATTAAAATCTTTGTAATAGTTTTTTTCCCCCAATACAACCATCACAAATCTAAACATCTTAAATACTTCAGCTTGCTTCTTCCACGAACACCCAAGGGGGGAAAAAAAGTGCATTAACAGCAGGCCCCAAAAGTTAAAGCCAGGCTTCTTGTGGAAGAACAAAGATTTCCAGATTTGAAGTCCCTTTCTTAGAAAATGCCCACCAGAAGCTCATTTCCACACCTATAAATATCAAACTGTGACAGACAAATTTCAAGTTAATCAGATTCCAAACCATTTCGAATTTTATATCTTAAAACCAACACCTTGAACTTCACCCTGAGACTAATCGGCAGTTAATGACGATCACAGAGCACAGGTATTATGCATTCCTGGTATGAAATATTAAGATGTGCTAACACATTCAATACTAACTTAAGTTATGGATGGTAGGAAGATGTAGACATATAGAGAGGACAATAGTCTAGCCTAAAGGTGACAGATATGAATAACTGTAGCAAATTATTCATCTGGGGAAAAAACACCGTTCCACTTGTCTCATCGGGCCAATATAGAAGAGTGTTTCAGACCATAGTTGCTACCTGAGCATCCATGAGCCATCCAGGATCTATAAAAATCCCTGAATTATAAATCTATGCTACAAACAGCACCATGCACCCTCAGGGGTGTCACTATAGCCTTTGCCAATCCTTCCAATTGCTTAACAACCTACAAGTACTATTTCAGTCTCCTCTGGATTGAACCTCAGCCAGCTCTCCATAGGATCAGATGAGGAAAAAAAAAACAAACAAACAGAGCTTTTGCTTAACACACTAAAAAACACAATGGCATATATTTCCTTCCTAACCATCAGAATAACTACATATATTAATTGATCAAAAGGGAGTAAAACAGAACCTTGTAGAATCCCATGACACTTCTCTCAGGGAAGGTGAGCAACTGTCCAAAGTACTGACCTCTGGGAATTCTCATTATGAAAGAAGTTGAGCCATTTGCTAAGGACTGCAAATCAGTCAACACCACTTTATGATCAAGTGTTTAAGACAACAGTTCTAAAAGAATCAGTACGCACTTTATCCTTGTTCATTATTAGTAGGAGAGATCAATTTCTGCAATACCATTTGTCCCATACCCAGGTCTAAAACCTGAGTGATGGGGTGGTCCCAAAAATCTGAAAACTCCAGATACTATAAGTTGCCATGCTACAACCTTTTCAACAAAATTTCCTTCGATAAGACACACCAAACCCAGCCAACATAAAAATAAGACTCAATATGCAACTGAAAGAGCATAAAACAAAAGAAAAAAAATCAAGCTTACTTGTTTCTCTGACACTGGTAGCTCTTTCCAAGCATATGCAATTTTTTTTACTATCTCCAAAACGCTCACATCTGTGAAACAGAAGAAATTTTTAACTTCTTAGTTTACAAGAGAGTAAGAAAACTGAACCCGTTTTAACGTTTAAAATGTTTTTCGTTTTCCCCAGGAAAGAATTTGCTACCAGTATTTTTCTGCCACAGACATATTCTTTTTCCATAAAACCTGTCCTAATGTGCCAGTACGAGAAATTGTGAACACCAGGTGAATAAGATAGCTTTTTTTTTATTCCTAAAAGGAAAGATTAAATGTCACTATTTCAGAAACAGGCATTTTTGTGTGTGACCTACACAGAATTTTTTAGAAGTCGGGGTTATGTTTCTTTTCTTCTTTACACTGCATATACAAACTGAGAAAGTTTTTTGTTTGTTTTTTTAAAGTTTCTGCTTGTTTTTGTTTTTTACTTAGAAATACCAGGAAAGTCAAGTCTCAACTTTCCTCGTTTTGCCAGAGGATCTGCTGGAATAGACCAGGTACAGGTTCAGTTTTACACCTTAACTGAATGAGAAGTGGTGTTGAATCTTCAAATGGCAGGTACTTCATCTAAAATGTCAATCATTGAAATTAAATAAGTTAACAATCCCCAATTTCCCCCAAACAATGGTTAAGAGACTCTGCCTAAAATGCCCTTCCCTTCTCAATTAGCGTTCACTCCTTACTTCTGTAATATCATCATTTCACAAATTCTTCAATCAGAAAGTTTTTTCAGGTCAAACAAGACTTGAACTTGTAAAATAGAAGTAGTTAAGATTTTTGTTGACAAATATCCTTCAAGGGTTTCTTTACACATCCTAGGCCTGGTCTACACTAGGAGTTTATGTCGAATTTAGCACCGTTACATCGAATTAACTCTGCACCCGTCCACACCACGAAGCTATTTAGTTCGACATAGAGGTCTCTTAAATTCGACTTCTGTACTCCTCCCCAATGAGGGGAGTAGCGCTAAATTCGACATGGCCATGTCGAATTAGGCTAGGTGTGAATGGGAATCGACGGTAATAGCTCCGGGAGCTATCCCACAGTGCACCACTCTGTTGACGCTCTAGACAGCAGTCCGAGCTCGTAGGCTCTGACCAGCCACACAGGAAAAGCCCCGGGAAAATTTGAATTCCTTTTCCTGTCTGGGCAGTTTGAATCTCATTTCCTGTTTGGACATCGTGGCGAGCTCAGCAGCACTGGCAACGATGCAGAGCTCTCCAGCAGAGGTGACCATGCAATCTCAGAATAGAAAGAGGGCCCCAGCATGGACTGATCGGGAAGTCTTGGATCTGATCGCTGTGTGGGGCGATAAGTCCGTGCTTTCCGAGCTGCGATCGAAAAGACGGAATGCAAAGATCTACGAGAAGATCTCTAAAGCCATGGCAGAGAGAGGATACAGCCGGGATGCAACGCAGTGCCGCGTGAAAATCAAGGAGCTGAGACAAGGCCACCAGAAGACCAAAGAGGCAAACGGACGCTCCGGATCCCAGCCCCAGACATCCCGTTTCTACAAGGCACTGCATTCCATCCTAGGTGCGGCCGCCACCACTACCCCACCACTGACCGTGGACTCTGAGGATGAGATATTGTCGACGGCCGCTTCCTCGGACATGTTAGCGGATGGGGAAGATGAGGAAGGAGATGAGGAGGACGAGGCAGTCGACAGCGCTTACAACGCTGATTTCCCCGACAGCCAGGATCTCTTCATCACCCTTACAGAGATCCCCTACCAACCGTCCCCAGGCGTTAACCCGGACACAGAATCAGGGGAAGGATCAGCCAGTAAGTGTTTTAAACATGTAAACATTTATTTTTAAAATAACAGGAATATTAACAATATTAAAAATGGGTTGTGCATGATTACTTTGCTCTAGGCGCTTAACGTTTCAGTCCTTGGCAGTGCAACTACTGAAAAAAAAAAAATCTAACAATGTCCGGTTTAGCATGATTGTTCTGCCCTAGCCGCTCTACTGTTTAGTCCCTGCCAGTGCAGCTACAGTAAAATCCGGTCTATATGTCCGGGGATAGAGCTGAAATCCTCCAGGGACATTTCCACGAAGCTCTCCTGGAGGTAATTGGAAAGCCTTTGCATCAGGTTCCTGGGGAGAGCGGCCTTATTGGGTCCTGCGTAGTACGAAACGTTTCCGCGCCAGGAGACAAGCAAGTACTCCGGGATCATTGCCTTGCAGAGCATGGTGGCATACGGCCCTGGTCTTTGCAGGCTTTCCCGAAGCATCCTTTCTTTCTCCGTCTCTGAAATCCTCATCAGAGTGATGTCGCTCATGGTGACCTGCTTTGAATTAGGTAGGGGAATGTTAGTATTGGGACTGCTTGCTTGTTCCTTTACAGAACTGTAACCGGCGGTTTACAGCCACGTGGTGGAGGCGGGAGAGGGTCAGCATACAGGGATCTTTCCCTGGGACAGCCACGAGGGGGTGGGACAGGGGCAGAGTTCATGCTTGCCGGATTGCTGGCAGCAGGGACTGGCATTGCTTTCAACGTGAAAGGAGGCCAGTGCTATTATTAAAGTTTTAAGCAGCCACAAGTCTACGGCTTACCATGTCGGCCTGCTACACAAATTCCAGTGTCCTGCCCCGCTTCTCTGATCTGCACTGCAAGACCCCAGGCACTGAATGCGAAGGCCGAAAATTCGACCTTGTCCTGAGTGCGCATGTGATAGGTGCTGTGCATGGTCTTATTCACAGAGAAAGACTATGTTCTTTGTTCACAACTAAATTTATCTTTCTGAGGAATTCACTCCCTTTTTCCCATCCCACAGCTGCGACTGTCTCCCGACCTAGCCTGGCATCACACTCCCAGAGGCTAGCGCAGATGAGGCGTAGGAAGAAGAGGACACGGGAGGACATGTTCTCGGAACTTATGGGCTGCTCCCGAGCACAGGCAGCACAGCAGACCCAGAGGAGGGAGAACTTGTCCCAAATGCACCGATCAGACATGGAACGGGAGGAGAGGTGGCGGCAGGAAGACCAGCAGGCGACTCAAACGCTGCTTGGACTAATGAGGGAGCAAACGGACACGCTCCGGCGCCTTGTGGATGTTCTGCAGGACCGGAGGCAGGACGACAGAGCCCCTCTGCAGTCTATCTGTAACCGCCCTCCCCCGCCACCAAGTCCCATACCCCCCTCACCCAAAGTCCCAAGAAGGAGGGGCGGCAGAGTCCGTGAAAACTCTCACTCCACCCCTGCAGACTGCTCAAGTACCAGAAGGCTGTCATTCCCCAAAATTTGATAAGTCCTTTCCTTCCCGCCTCACCCAAGCCCCCGTCCAAGTTTCATCCCCCAGTTTCATGTGTAGTTGCTAATAAAAAAGACGTTTCTGTTAATTACTGTTTCCATCATGTTCTTTTACAGGAGAGTCTGTCTGAAGGGGAGGAAGGGGGTTGGTAATTGGACAGGACAGTCACCTTTACCAGGGTACAGAGGCGGGGGCAGGTTCAGCAGCAGGGCACACACATTGCAGTCACTAGTTACCCTGGTCAGTCTGGGAGGTGGTTTTCATGTTATGTGTGTGTGTGGGGGGGGGGGCTATGTGACTTTGTGGCGGGGGAGGGCGGTTAGAGATCTTATGCAGCGGTCCTTATCCTGGATCACAGAGCCACGCAGCAGGGGATCTGTAACCGTCCTCCCCCTGCCACAAAGTCACATAGCCCCCACACACAGAGTCCCGAACAGGATGGGTGGCAGGCTCCGTTGAAACAACCAGTCCACCACTGCGGAGCCTGTCATTCCTGGAGTTTAGAAGCGTCCTTTGCATCACTACACTACACCCGCTCCCCACCACAGTCTGTGTCCCAGGTTCAACACTTTACCGAGAAAACAGTAATAAAGAAAACGGTGTTCATTAACAAAATTCAAGTGATTTTATTTTTAAATGTGTGTTGGAAGGGGGGGAACGGGGTGAACGGAGTATGTAACTGGAGAGGATAGTGAACATTTACTGGGTAAAGAAACGGGGGCAGGTTCAGCTTCTCTGTAAACAAACGTAATAGTCACAGGTTACCCTGCTCACTCAGGAACCTAGCTTTCAAAGCCTCCCGGATGCACAGCGCGTCCCGCAGGGCTCTTCTAATCGCCCGGCTGTCTGGCTGGGCGTAATCAGCAGCCAGGCTATTTGCCTTAACCTCCCACCCCGCCATAAAGGTCTCCCCCTTGCTCTCACAGAGATTGTGGAGCACACAGCAAGCTGCAATAACAATGGGGATATTGGTTTCGCTGAGATCACAGCGAGTCAGTAAGGTTCTCCATCTCCCCTTGAGACGGCCAAAAGCACACTCCACCACCATTCTGCACTTGCTCAGCCGGTAGTTGAAGAGTTCTTTTTCAGTGTCCAGGGCGCCAGTATAGGGCTTCATGATCCAGGGCATTAGCGGGTAGGCTGGGTCCCCGAGGATCACTATAGGCATCTGCACATCCCCAACAGTTATTTTGTGGTCCGGGAAGTAAATACCTTCCTGCAGCCGTCTAAACAGACCAGAGTTCCTGAAAACACGAGCGTCATGAACCTTGCCCGGCCATCCGACGTTGATGTTTGTAAAACGTCCCCTATGATCCACCAGTGCTTGCAGCACCGTTGAAAAGTAGCCCTTTCGGTTAATGTACTGGCTGGCCTGGTGGTCCGGTCCCAGGATAGGGATGTGAGTTCCATCTATAGCCCCACCGCAGTTTGGGAATCCCATCGCGGCGAAGCCATCTATGATGACCTGCGCGTTGCCCAGGGTCACTACCTTTGAGAGCAGTAGCTCAACGATTGCGTTGGCTACTTGCATGACAACAACCCCCACGGTAGATTTGCCCACGCCAAAGTGGTTCGCAACTGACCGGTAGCTGTCCGGCGTTGCAAGCTTCCAGAGGGCTATGGCCACTCGCTTCTGGACAGTCATGGCTGCTCGCATCCGGGTGTCATTGTGCTTCAGGGCAGGGGACAGCAACTCACAAAGTTCCATGAAAGTCCCCTTCCACATGCAAAAGTTTCGCAGCCACTGGGATTCATCCCAGACCTGCAGCACTATGCGGTCCCACCAGTCCGTGCTTGTTTCCCGGGCCCAGAATCGCCGTTCCACAACATCCACATGACCCATTGCCACATGATGTCCTCGGCGCGGGGTCCCATGCTTTGTGACAGGTCTGTGCCACTCTCAGACTTCAGGTCCTCACCGCGCTGCCGTAGCCTCCTCGCCCGATTTCTCAGCATCTGCCTCTGGGAAAGGTGGATGATAAGGTGCGAGGTGTTGACAACGGCCATAACTGCAGCGATGGTCGCAGCGGGCTCCATGCTCGCAGTGCTGTGGTGTCCGCGCTGTCACTGACCAGAAAAGTGCGCGAACTGATTTCCCGCCGGCGCTTTCAGGGAGGGAGGGCGGGAGTGACGGTTGGATGACGACAGTTACCCAAAAGCACCCTCGACACATTTTTTTACCCAGAAGGCATTGGCGGCTCGACCCAGAATTCCAATGGGCAGCAGGGACTGCGGGAACTGTGGGATAGCTGCCCACAGTGCACCGCTTCCAATGTCGACGCTTGCCCCGTTAGTGTGGACTCACAAAGTCGAATTACTGTCCTTAGTGTGGACACACACGTTCGACTTTGTAATATCGATTCCACATATTCGATTTAAGTAAAATCGAACTACTCTCGTAGTGTAGACATACCCCTAGTGAGGGAAAGGGCACAGGCTCAATTCCTCCCCCCCCAACACACTTTCCAAAAATGCCAGTTCCGCTTTTCCATTATTGACATGACTGAACCTAAGCATTCAGGCTCAAAAGTATAGGAAGACAAGACAGACCTAGAATACATGGGTCAGCCTCTCCTTTCAACTCCACTCAACAATGCCACATTTTGCCATGGACTATTAGTTTTTAGGAGAAAAGAAGGGTAACTTTATCAAGATGAGGAACACTAATACTTTATCAGGTCTACAAAAAACTTTCTGTGCCCCTGGGATGGAATATACTAATTTGTAGACTAAGGCTTTGTCTACACTACCAAGTTTTGTCAACAAAACTTATGTTGACACCCAAAGGTCGACAAAACAAAAATCGCGAAAGGGTGTTCACACTTGCTTCCTCTGTCGACAGATAACATCCACATTGTGGGCACCATCATCGACAGTATGAGCAATGCACTGTGGGTATGTATCCCACAGTGCTGTGTTGTGGGAAGGCGGAGCTGATCGCTGAGCATCTTGGGAGGATTCCCTCCATGTTCTCCCACAGCCTCCTCAGCTGCCGAGAGCGGCATCATGAGTAACTCTGTGAGATCTCTGTGCTGAGGAATGTCAAAGCAGGGGCTGCTGTGTTCCTAGTGCAGGGCAGAGCAGGAGCATTCCAATGATTTCTTCCTTGTTCCCAAAAGGGAGCAGCACACTCAGCTGTCAGATACTTCCCCCGCAATTCTGAAAGGGGAGTGTCGCATGGTGCTGTTTATAGCATAGATTTACAATGTAGGGATTTTTATAGATCCTGTCTGGATCGCTCATGGATGCTCCGGCAGCAATTGTGGTCTGAAACACTCTTCTATATTGGCCCAATGAGACAAGTGCAACAGTGTTTTTTCCCCAGATGAATAATTTGCTCCAGTTATTCATGTCTGTCACCTTTAGGCTAGATTACTGTCCCCGCTATGTATCTACATCTTCCTTCCATGCATCCCTTAAGTTAGCATTGAATGTGTTAGCACATCTTAATATTTCATACCAGGAATGCATAACACTGGTGCTCTGTGATCTGCCTTAACTGTCAGTTAGTTTCAGGGTGGTGTCCAAGGCGGTTTTGGGCAACAAAACTTGGTAGTGTAGACAAAGCCTAAGGCACAGGAAGAGATTATGCACTGGGATCTGGGTAGGTAACTGGACAAGATCTTCAAGCATATTTTAATAGGAGAACTTTCTGATTATAACCTCTCTACAGCCAAATGACTTAAGAATTCTCAACTGTTTATCATTTAAAGTGAGTTACCTCAAAACTTGTCCAAGATGATCATAAATCATAATTTGGTTTCAATACTTTAAAACAATCATTTCTACAAACAGTAATCCTCAATTAGACCAAGTTTCCTCATTCCCAAATGAACTTTTCCATATCGGAACAATATTCAATTTTGCAGCTCTCGTTGGCTATGAATAGGAATAAAAGCCTTAACATACACATACTTTAGGACAACTAAAAATATTCAAGGGAAAGACACCCACTCTTAAAAATATTTGCCCTTTCCCAATTTAGGTTATGGACAGACCCACCATTTTCAAAGCTCAGCAAATTACTAGATAAAGCATCAGGATAAACGTTTGTACTGGGCATTGGTACATAATCAAAAATTATCTTTTTCATGTGCATGAAAAGAAATATTCACATGCAATGGAAGAATGCTAATCATTACAACGCAAATATTTAATGGGGTTCTTTTTTGAAGTTCTCATATTAAGTACCTTGTCCATATGACAAATATTTATTCTACTCTGAATGAATTAAAATTCAAATTTTTTTAGAGCTAATATAAATTATGAGTAGTATGTGTATCTAACATTCAATACTGATATTTAATTTTACTGGATTTTATCACTTTAATATGTTCTTTTAAAGTTTATTTATTCATATAATATATAGTTTGACTCAAATACTTATCTAGTTTTTTAAGCCAAAGGAAAAAAGTGCACACACATCTGAAATAAAACTGGGTTCTATAAACAGAACTGCCAACACATCTTAACAAATTCATATTAAAATGAAATGATTTTATTTACGTTTCTAAGCAGTTTTTGAAACAAAAATAACATTTATTCTAATGCTAAGTTTCTTTAGAGTTCCTTACCTGGATTTTGTTTTCTAAAAATGGGCTGCTGATCTTTTACAAAACGAAAGTAGGCTGTTAAGGGTCGCTTTGGAGGATTATCTGAATTGATCTGTTTTGAAAACCACTTCTCCACTGAGTATGTAGTACTGCATCTTTAACACACGCAAAGTTATCAGATATTAAAAATACATCAATATGTAAACTCAGTTGTAAATTACACTTCAAAATAAATAACGTGACCGTTAGTTTACAATCCCGATGTAAGCAGTATTACCAGACTCCAGAATAAGCCCACAACTAACATTTACAGCCCATCATATTCCCGGCCCAAATGCACAGGAGCTCCTCCAGAAACAACTCCGCATCTGTAACCAGGCTTGGGTCAGCCACTTCCCAAGCCACTGAAAGCTTCTATCACCCCCACCCATGGACACGCTCCCTCCTATGAGCAAAGAGGGCCACAGGGGAGAACGGAAGAAGGGAATGATGCGCGGAGGGTGCCCGAAGGGTGCTGCGGCCGGGGAGGGGACGATGCGCAGAGGGTGCCCGAAGGGTCCTGCAGGAGAGGATGGGACGTTGCGCGGGGGGCACCCGGGGGCGCTGCCCATAGGGGGAAGGCGGAGTGAGGGGACGGGAGGAGGGTGGCTGGGGCGGGATGCAGACAGATGCGCTGGGAGGACCAGGAGTCCGGCTCACTCCGAAGTTTCGCCGCTAGCCCCGGGCGGTGCCTTCACCTGAGAATGTGCCGAGCGCTGGGAAGAGCGGCCAGGGCCCGGCCCAGCAACGCGGCCGCCATAACACCGACACACAAAACAACAGGATGCTCGTCAGGTCAGAGCCGCGCGCGCTGCTGGCGCGGTGCAATGTGGGAAGAAGTGGGTCCCGCCTCTTAGCTGGAACAGGGCCTCGGGACAGCATAGGCCCCAAAGCGCATGCTCCGAACCGGGGGGGGGAGGAGGAGGAGGAGGATGGCGCGTGCAAAGGGAGGGGCTGAGCGGGGAGTACGGCGCGCCGCTCCTGTAGCGTCTTCCGGGGACTAGCGGGGAGGTGTAGAGGTGCCCGCGGCGGGGCGGGGCCAATAGCGGCTGGGTCCCTCCCCCTCGAGGCTCGGGCTCAGGCTGGCAGCTCAAGCCCAGCTGGCCCCGTTTAGGTGGTAGCAGAGCTCGGTGCCTAGGACGGATCTCAGGACGGCTCCTGCCCCAACAATTTGCGAGCTAGAGGAGAGACAGAGACAGACAAACAAGTGATTTACGGAGCCTTTTCCTATGATGTGTGTGCACTGTGCAGCCTGCCATGCGCCTTCCGTCGCACACGCCGTGCCATTGACTCGTTTAGCTCCGATTGGAATTGCCCAGGAATAGCTCACGGCTCACATACCAGTTTTTTAAGCAGATATCCCCGCTGAAATCAATATATTCTGCCTTTAAAAAAAAGTCGACCCAATACAGGTATTTGAAGAAACTCACACTGGTGATCGTGGCATTCCTTGGCTTGAAGCCCTTGTATATGCTGTAAGCATACGTTAATATTACGATTTTTCTCTAAAGATACTGTCTGTACAGAATTCTCACACTTGAGTCTTAACCCCTTAGTGTGAGATTGGCAGAGCTTCCCTAGCGTTACTCAGAGACAAGGTGGATTAATTTATTGGATCAACTTCTATGACAAGCTCTGAAGCCACACGGAGCTCTTCTTCAGTTGTGGCTTGAAAGCTTGTCTCTCTCACACACGTACGTTGGTCCATTATAAGATATTACCTCACCCACCATGTCCCTTTAATATCTGTTCCTGGATTCTTACACAGCTACAACTACATTGCATATACCTCTCTGTTCAGGGCAGCAGAAGCTGTCAGGCTTCTATTGGCTGTCATGTGCCATCTGCAGCAGAGTATATGTGCTGTCCTTGACCTTTCAATTTCTTCTTTCCCATAATGAAATAGCTTTCAGCACAAGCCTGTGCCTTGGGAGCCATTGGTTCAGCAGATCCTAAGCACACTTTGTTGGGTATTCTTTTCTTCCTAATAGCCTTGTCTTCTAGTCAGTTCCAGTGTGGTGTTATAGATTGTTGACACCATTGTATCATTACTGCAGTGTCTGCTGTAGTGGAAGATAGCACCAGTCTTTAGGGCTAAGTACTGCTTTTGCTGCTCTGTGCCTGTTCTTTCTTTTGACACACTGATATGTTTTTTCTTTATTTTGGTGCCTCTTTTTGGTCAGTGCCATGTCACCAGGGTGTTTCTGCTTGTTGGCACAGTTGTTGTGTGACAGGGTCCAAGGTACTCTGACATGAAAGTTCGGTGCCTGTCTCCAAGCCCAGTGGCTTCTTTTATCTATTGGTCCAGAAATACCAGTACCATTTTTCCTACTTTGATGTCCAAAAGGGAAAGGAGACCACTTAGTGTCTTAAAACACGTTGTCATATTTAACATTGAAACCACCCATTAGAGGTACCTGTTTTGCAAGATGCATGGTCCTGATAAAGCTGATGAAAGGTCCTTTGGGACCACTCAATTCCTGTGAAAAAAAAAATTCTTTTTAAATGTAGAAAGTCCCATTTCTGGTGGCAGTCACTCTCGCTCACAGAGCTGACTGATCAACCTTATACTAGATTTTACAAGAATAATTGTATTATGATTCTACTGAGATTCCTCACCACAAATTCAACGTTAGACTATTGTCCTACCAACATTTTCTTCACGCACCTGTCTATCACAGAGAAACCTGTATAGCATCACTGTGAAAGAGATAATTGGAATTATATTTGGAAACTCCTAAAGCTTTCAGAAGACTAATCCAATTTTGTTTCTTTTGACACCAGTGCATCAGGCAATATTTTTATTAGGACAATCACATCTAAATGGATGTCTGATAGCCTTCTGGTTTCAGACTGCAGGGATACAATGTCAAAACTTACTTGTTTTGAGACAAAACCATTACATAACAGTCCATCTCAGCTGTTTCCCTAGAAAACCACCTACTAAGTGGTCCTCTTTCATAAAAAAAAATGCTTTAAAAATGGCCCCCCGTTATAAGTATCTGGGTACTTCACACATTTTAATGTATTTATCTTCACAACACAGCTGGCACGTAGGGAAGAAATATTCCCATTTAAGAGATGGGCAATTGAGGCACAGAGGCTAGGCCCAAGTCCTCAACGATACACATTTAACTTCCATTGATTTTAATGGTAATTAGGTGCCTAAATACCTTTGAGGATCTGGCCCCAAGTCTCTCTGTGTTTCAATTCCCCATCTGTCAAGTGGGCCTAAATGATTTGCCCAAGGTCACCTATGAAGTCCCGGCCCAAGCAAGGAATTGAACTCGGGGCTCCTAAATTTCAAACCCCTGGCCCTCCTTGCTTGGATTTCACCCTCAGAGGTAGGACTTTTCAACTCCACTTTAGAGCTCAATTCCAAAGTAAAATAAGTCACTCACCCATCACTTTTGTTTTCTCTCAGGGTGTCCCTTATTTTGTTGACCAATTTATTTTTAAATAAGCAAAGACTTCAATGGTGTGTTTGATAGTGCAGTTGTGTTAACAGTATAAAGAGGAATAAGGTAATAGGAATATAGAACAAGCTCACTTTTTCCGCTAGTAGTAGCTTTACTCTTTTGCAACATCCCTTCTGCTTCTTGTGTGAATGAGAATCTTGCTGATAGTATTTTTAGAGAAAAGAGTATTTAGCCTATAATAATTCTTCTCTGATTATGCTGTTTTGCACCTTATTTTTTTTATTCCACAGAGCATTCTCGTTTCCTTCTGAGGGAATGATGCATTCATCACAGTGTCTTCAGTATTCTTCCCAGCTGCTTTTTACACCCATTGCAGTCTCCAAACCACTATTCCCCATATACAAGACTTCTTTTAATAGCCCCAATTCATTCCTTAGCAGTTGAATACAATATTAAAAATGTAGAATGAGACATACGAGTACTTAAAGAGCAAATTATTCTTTAACGGAGACAAATATACATTTTTAATTTTTATTGTCATTTAGGCCTCAGTTGGCATCTTTAGACAGAAAATACCACACAAACATCAGAAATTTGTTAAACAAGTTATTAGAAAGCAAGCTGTCTGTAATATTAGAGTAAGAATAAATAAGAATAAAACTACGATTACATTTTCAAGAATTTCCAGAGATCCTTTAGTTGTGGCAATGTCACCGTAGAGTAGAGAGGACAATCAGATGAAGCATTTTACAGTGACTGGTAGAACATGACTGGACAGAGAGGAGGGAAGCACAGATTATTTATACATTGTTTATTCCATCATAATGAAAGCAGCAGGACTGAGCAATCTTTTGGAGAGAGAAAAGAAAAGAAGTCTTCATAATGCATCATCTAATAAGTGGTGACAGAATATTAACCAGGAAATTCTTAAAATCCTTGCTTATTCAACAATGGTTTAAATGTTGTCCTGGATGATGAAGTTTGGAATTACCTAAAATGCCAGTCAGTCAAAAAAATCAAAATATCAGACCTATAGATTAGTAGGTATGATATTTCTTGGACAGAAAGTCTAGACTACTTAAGGCAGGTTAATAGCTGAGTCAGGAACTGAATTTCAGCTAAAAATACCACTGAGAAAACTTCTACAAAGAATGTCTTCAAGACACTTATCTTCAAAGAATCCTATAAAGTTACAGTAAAAACTAGTGCTGCAGTCAGTTCATCATTGTCAGTTAATTTGATTTCTATTGCTCATCCCAAAGATCTTGCATTATGGTGGGAAGCTATTCCTTTTTGTATGGTGTATACTCAAATATTGCCAATTTATGTATAAACATTTTCAAACTAACCTTGATGTTTTAGTAAAGTAAAAGACAAAGAATAATTCATTCCCTTTAACATGCAAGTCAAGCTTCCAAATTTCACACAGTTAAGCATAAGACACTAAGAACTATTTAAACCATTTGTTCTGGTACAAGCATATTACTAACAAAAATGTAAGAAACACAAATGAAAAAGAATTCTGGGAAAGATTCTGTTACTCAGAAACCTTTCCCCCCCCTCTCGTGATATTATACAAAACAAATGAATGGTGAATAGTTTAGCTTCCATAGCAGTAATATCCCATTTCAAGTTGAGTGGACTTACTCATTTATTTTTACTATTAAAGACTTTTATTGACCATTTTAAAGATGGAATATTCTACAGTGTACAACAGGGACATTCTTTGAAGCAGTGCAATGAAAAAACTTCAGTGCTTCTCCACTAAGTGTTATTCTCAAAAGTCAATTGTATGTATTAGAAAAAAAAATGACATTTCACAAGTGACCAATTTGTGCTGCTGTTTCATATTCTGGGCAATGGTGAATTCAATGGTGAATTTTAAACAAGTATTAAATGATTAAAAAATATTCCAATGGTAGAAAGAGTTTCTAGCATACATGCTATTCTTCTGCACATTCCAGTTAGATGTTTGCTACAGTAAATGGCATTTTTTCCTTGGTGTAAGAGAAAGCACTGGAGTTAGCTTGCACTCAAAGGTTTTGGCTCCTGTGGTGGCAAATTTCCCATTCAATCCAGTTTTGCTTAATGCAGAAAGTTCAAAGCAATAGGCTAACCATGCATTTTTTTACAATTATTTAACATCCTAAGGGGGGGCAGAGGGGGGGGGAAATCTGTGTTTTGAGATTAAAATGCTTTTATTTTTAGTTTAAAAACAAAATCTGCTTTTCCAATACTATGGATTTTCTACATGCATTGTGAAGTAGACTGAGATGACACAGTTAATGGAAAAGTTAGCTTCACGTGTGAAAAATATTAGACCAAAATATTGTTAGACATAAATGAGGGAAGATTCTTTACCATGACATTCTGATATTGAAAGTATTCATTTATATCAATTTATGTGAAAGTGTCTGATGCCCAAACATCTGCGATTTTTTCTTGTGAAAAGAGAATTGCTTATATATATTTAGTGTAGGATTTCAGCAAAGTTGAATCCCACATATTACAAAACAATGGGTATAACATGTTAAATAAATTGGCCTACAGCTAACATTCATTGCAACACAGTTAGAATTAATATCAGATGCATGGCTTTATTTTCCCCTTTGTCTATAATTCACATGCATAACTTAATATTCTGATCTTTTAATTTTAGAGAAAGCACTTGCAAGGTTATGCAAGATTTAAATAATAGCCAAGACAAATAGTAGAAAATGCATTTTATTTATATGGAAAAAGCTACAGTAAGATTTGTAAAAGGTCTGTGAGAATATTATGTTGCCAATATGGGGGTGGGGGGGAGGAAATCAGTCATGAATAGCAACAAACAAAAACAGTTACATATCTTTCTACATAGCAGTGCAATTAGTTCACATTGCAATAAAATTAAGTCAAGTATGCAACAGAATAAAAAAACCAAGTGTTTCTCCATAATCAGCATGTTAAGAATTACAGTGCAAAGATCATTTTAGGTTTTAAGAAATCTGCAATCAGTCTGTATAATAGCCCATAGGGAGCAACACCTCATTGATTTCATTAGTAGCAGTTGTATCATGTCAATACTGTGCTAAAGGAAAAAAAAGTCTAAATGAATTGATTTGCATGGTAAATAAAATATATTTAGTCTATACAGTAAAAAAATACAAATTATATAACAACTAATAGAATGAACTTTTGAACAGAGACTTATGAAATTGACAACATATCTTAAAGACACATACAGTATTTCTCATGTAAAACATCTAGTTTTTCAGCAAAAAATAATTTGGTTGCTTTACAACTGCATTAGGGATCTTGTAGGCTGAAGATGCAGAAGTCCAAGAGTCTTAAAAACCACAATAAATGTCTTTTGCAAAGCATACAAAAAGGATAAATAGTCTCATCACAGTTTTAAGATTATTTTTGGAAGTTTGTTTTTTCTTGCTCCAGAAACACACTTACATGGGTAAAAATTAAAAAGGGCCTCATGGTACATTGAAACAGTAAACTGTGCTCCATTTACTTCTAATTTTGAAAAAACCTAGAATTTACAGTACTCTGTGGTATATATGAAAAAGTCTTCACAAGTTTACATTGCATATTTCTGAGTCCATTCTCTTGCATGTCTGTTGTATCTGTATGTGTAGAAAGAAGGCATTTCAATGAAGATAGGTATATGATCCACAACATCTATGTATCAGAGTAGCAGCCGTGTTAGTCTGTATCCGCAAAAAGAACAGGAGTACTTGTGGCACCTTAGAGAAATTTGTTAGTCTCTAAGGTGCCACAAGTACTCCTTAACATCTATGTAAGCACTCAAATGATGTGTTACTGGCTCTCTACCTTTTGGGATTGATTATAATCTTGTGAAATATAAGAACTGTTTTACATAGTAACTCTCTTCCCTCAAGAAGCAAAATACATAATTCATAGCATATATATACACATATGCTCAGTTTTGGAACTACCTAAAAAAATAAAATCTAACCACAGCAGTCGTCTATGATTGCATTAAAATGTAAGAAATCTACAGTTTGCGCGTATGTAATCAGTCTTTTGCTAATAGTTCCACTGTGCACTAAACAGTGCCAAATCAACAACTCTAGCATACTTACGACTATTAGAAACACATTAGCTAATTAATGCAGGCAAGTAGTAGGTCATTAAAACAATGCACACCATATACTGAAGCACAAGATTGTTTATTACACCATCTGTTTCTCAATGTCAATTCTATTTTGGCTCTAGAGATTCACTTTACAGTAAGTTAATTTAAACAAGTTTTTAAAGACTTTTCCCAGAAGAAAGGTAAGAATTGCATTAAAGCTAACTACATACCATTAGAATGAACAAGGTCAAATTGTTAATGTCATTATTACAAAGTTATTTCCAAAATATTATTTAGGTATAAAAGGTCTTTTATTGAACTAGGTCAAAACCTAGGAAGTTTTTTTTTTTTTTTTTTTAATGTCACAACTTCCATAGTCTGCCAACAACATCTGAATGTTGACACTCAAAAGGGAAGTAATTATGCTTCTCTGAAAGTATCATTTGACTGGATTTCTACCCTTGGGCCTTTTCCTTCCTTCATGAGACTGGCCAGAACTCCCAAAACTCCTAGCCAACTCTCTCCTTGCCTTGGTAGCAGCATGTGGTATATTAAATTCCTGACCGTAGGCTCAGCAGCCTCTTGTGCCCCCACCTGTTAGTTCCTTCTTCAAATAAAAGGTTGAAGCAAGAACTTTTGCAAACCTATATAACCTAATTGCCTCCCTTTAAGATGCCAATATATGTAACTTGTGCACTAACTGCAGCAGTCTCCATAATCTGCAAAACACATGCTAATGGAACATAACTCCTTGGACTCTAAGTTAATATTGGTAAAAGTCGGTATTATAGCATAACCAGAGTTTAGTCGGCCATGACTTTCACCTCCCAAATCTGAGGGGAGATAAATTTAATAGAAAGCCAACCAAAGGATATCTTCAAAGAAGCAGAGTTACAGGCAAATTTTCCTTTCTTAAACCATCCCATACTGATTGAATTCTTAGTCCTCACTTCAAAGAAGGAGTCTCCATAAACCAAGAGATTCTCCAAGAAACTGTATGGGGAATTTCCACACCACCTTAAGAAACGTGGAGACTTTTCAACACCCCTGCCACCCATCAACAACAGGAGGAAGAAATATTGAGTAAATGAACAGGCAAAGGCTGAGCCCTGATTTCTTCATCTTAAGAATGATAGTGTTTGTATTACAAGGCAGATATACAAACAAGTTCAAATATTGAGGCAGGTGCTTGCAAAATGGGTCAGATGCTTTGATTACACCAATCATCATAACTGGCAAGAAAAAACTCTTAGTAGTCTGCAAAAATGTCCACTCCATGGACAAGAAAGACTGTTTCAGCAGAGGAATATCCTTTAACAAGACCATAACCTCCATCTAACATAAGCAAAGACCCCAACACAACTTGACAAAATAGAACACAGTTTTCAAATTGAAAACAATCCTCAGTTACCTTCAGGAAACTGTGCCCAGTGAGGAAGAACTACAGACCATCTGTAGATGTACCAAAAAGCTCCTGAATGGATGAGTATTAAAAAGCTAAATCTGATTCTATCTGTAATATGTAGATGACAGTCAATGTCAAACATATACCTGGTAAGTACCTTTCATCTTAGTGCTGGTATTAATGGGTATTTTGTTAAATTATTGCAGCAGGCACACACCAACTTGTTCACATGTTACAAGCAGTTTGTGATCTCTTCCAGATATTCCATACAGACTCTAGAGATCCTGGAACAATGAGTATAACTGTTTAAGATACTAAAGAAGAGACCCCCCTCCCCCAGGCTACCAACAATTAGCATGAACACCACGAGTGAAATACTGCCCCACTGAAGTCAATGACAATACTCCCAATGACTTGAATAGGGCTAGGATTTCAGCCAGAATCACAGGTAGCCAATATGCATCCCAAACACATCCACCAACAACCTAATAGTGTCTACCAAATACTCGACTCAGGGAGCAAACAATCTGAATTTATGGAATCTGGAAGGGCTTAAGACAATCACTAAGAGCGAGACATTGAGTTTGCTGCATCTTCATTGATATTATGTATTGGGTTTTCAGGCCTACTAAGATGCTCTCATGTGGTTCAGATGTCACAGGTACACCGGACCCTCACTAGAACGCGGGCTTTTGGATCCATGTGCGGTCCCACGTTAACGTGGGAACCGCATTACCATGGATTCCAATGAAGGTAATTAAATTTGGGATCCATGCACGGCCCCACACTATAAGCGAATTCGCGCTATATAGACACGTGTTCTAGCGAGAGTCCACTGTACTAGAATACTTTTGCAGAAAACAGTTTAGGGCATATGCTGCAACTGAGTTTCAATGTGTCTGTTTTAGCTAACAGTCAGACCACATCCTCGACTTCTCTTGGACTATCCAGACCAAGAAACCTGTCCCACAGGACCTCTAGGAAGAAAGCTCAATCCCCCACCTACTTTGAGCACCCTGATGTGGAAGACTGGTGTACCCCCAAGTTACTCTGTTATCACATCAATTGTTCATTAGACTAGTCAAGCATTCCACCATTTGGAATGACGGTTAAACACTCAGACTGTGGTTATAGGACCAATGGATCAATATTCCCTCTAAACATAAGAAAAAAGTTTAGAAACAGGAGTTAGAAGGAGGAAGCATATACAGATGTTCCTGTCTCATTGAAAATAAGCAGCTTTACTTGCGGAGGAGATTGTCTCAAGTACAAGCTCTTTGAGATACACGCCGCCTCCCCTGTCCTCTTCTCCCTCCTCCCCCCAAGTGCTGTTACCACCACGGCTCTTCAAGCCACTCTCACAGTACTAGTGTCTGATACACCAGGGGAAAGCTCCAGAGATTCCAAGACACTGGCATTCCAAATTTCCTCCAGGGAACCTTTTGGAAATTCCCAAGTCTGATCTGTAATATGCTGAGGGCCTAGAGCCTCTAGCCACCCCTATGTGAAGTGCCCCATAGTGTGCCAAGGCATCAACTTCCTGAGATATCCAGAGACATCACCCTTTAGGGTCTGAAATGCTTAGAGAATTCACTCTACACTGCACTGTTCTGGAGATAAGCTTCCACTATGTGCCAAAGACCTGAAGACTCAGCTGACCACAAAACACTGGTACCAGATGTTTTGAGGCTACAGCCATGCAATGTACTTGGATCACAGTGCTTCAATGCTGTTACACATCCATGGCAGGGATGTGTAACAGGGTGCTGTCTGAAACCATCAAAATTCAGCTTTGGGAGTTCCAGGTGTGCTTTGAGAACAAGACTAAGACCAAAGAGTAGGAATCCAGTCAATATGGTATCTTTAGAGATTAAGTCCTTTCAATTTAAATCTCTTTTGCACCAGAAGTATGCACTACTGCAGCCATTAGTTGCCTAGGTTGCCATCCTGATACAAGCTCTCCCACCAGTTCTAAATTGAGGTCAAAGTGAAGAAAGGTCCATTTTTGCTGTAGGATGTTGCTGTTTGTTAGATGAATGTGGCTATGGAAAAAACTTCTCAATATTTTCTATATTTTAGACAGAAGTTGTATTTGGGAAATCAAATGTCAAAATTTAATATCCATGTTCAGTATCTTTTAACCTTTTGGCAGAGGCATAAGTCTAATAAGTCTTTAATGATAGGACCACATACCATCTCAAATAATATATTGTTATTTGTCCTCAAGTAGTTTAAAACTAATGTAAACATACAACCTTGACACTTCTCTTTTGTATGTACAGATTTTTGCACTAAAATATTATGAAATAGCAATGTTAATTTGTGTAACTCTACAGTCTACTAAAGTAGTTTAGTTGAAGTTATAAAACTATTACATGGGTTCTTGTTAGATTCTATTGTTTAAAGGCTTAGATATGTATATCTTTGGTATACCTAAGTTTTGTGAGCGTATATGAAGAGAATGTCTTCAAAGAATGGGGGGGAACGTTTTATGCGTAGCAGATTAAAAACAAGCCTCTAAATATCAAAAAGTTACTTACTTTTCCTTGTCTGACTTGTAGATTTGTGCAATATCTGGTACTAAAGGGTCATCAGGATTAGGATCACAAAGTAAGGAGCATATGGACAATAAAACTAAAAAAAGAAAATAGATTAAGGAAGGGTTTACTTCTTTGTCTTATTTTCTATAATACCTTACTATATACAGTGATAAATTTGGGGAAACAAATGTACTTCATTAGTATTAAATCTTTATACTACAGGTCTGCCCAGAAACCTCACTCAGGATCACGGCCCCATTCTGCTCAATGCTGTACAGACATACATGAGGATATGGTCCCTGACCCAGAGACTGTACGCTCCAAGAACCTGATGCACAATAAACACACCATGCAGACCCATGTGCTTTTGAAGAATTCATTACAGGACTCAGGCCTTAGAAGTGAAACAACTGACAATTTTGACTTACACGTGTTAAAGAAAACTACATACTGTCATATGAACATTTTATCAGACTGCAAGCCATTTTGCTTTAAAACCAATACAATTAGTTTCTCATTGAGAGAGATTGACTTTCTGACAGAGGGCTTAGTGCAAGGTCACAGGATCAGCATGTACTAATTACAAATGCATCTATTTTATATTCTGTCACACTATCATGCAACACCAGATTTTAGTGTATTTTTTCCAATTTTGTTGCCAACTTAGATCTATTTTCTCCAGTAAGACTGCATATGAAAATTTTCACCCAATTTGAATACACTAGGTATTAGATTTTGAATTCTAAATACTACAAATTTTACCACCAACAGATGTCAGTACTAATTTATTGGCATTCTCGGGCAGATTTAATTCTATCACAAATTCTGGCACACAGATTTTGGGAGAGGGCAATATATTTATATTCAGAACTCTGGAAACACTTTTGCATATACTGTGCCAATATTTAGATAATTCATGGCAAGAAAACGTTATGCTGATGACATCTCTGGCATGTAATAGGATTAGTTAAATTTGCTTTATAGAGACAATCTTGTGTCTAGCAAAATCTATTTAACTTTTTGCTCAGGAAAAACACGAGAAAATGAGCTGATATACTTCTGACTTTTTGCCATATTTCTTTCTAATCATCTTCAAACAACGTAACTTTTATCTCCAGTGTCAGAGGTCTAGTTGGGGGGGGGAGGGGGCGGGAGGGAAATGACCAAAAAAAATATAAAAAAATGCAGACATCATGCAAAGAGGGGATTCGATTATATTTAATAATCTGCAGAACTCCGTGAGCAAGGGTACTCCTAACTCACCTACTGTTCCCACAGTAATCGCACAATTTACTGTTTAATCATTTTGTTTTATGGTGTTTTTTTTACCACATTAAAAAGTTTGAATTCAGTTTAATATTAATGGTATTTTAGGCTGTGTCCATTTCAATCATTTTGTGCTGAAGTTTTTGGCACTTATAAAAATCAACATAAGCCACTAATATTTGACAACTCAAGTTGCTTGACTGGTCACATTGAGCAGTGACCACTTTAGCAGACATATGGTCCTTTAATCCTGCTCAGCAAGAACATATGTGCAAGTGAAAAAATAAACTTCCATCAACCATTCAGGTGAGGCACCAGTTTGAGATATGCAATGTACATGCACATGAATGAAATTAAGACTTTAAAAGCATTCTACCTAAAGCGTGAACCAGGGGACAGACCAATCACCAC